CAATAAAAAGGGGATTTTCTCTATAAATGCTGTTTTACGGAAAGTAAAGTATTGCACTCCTTTTCATAATCCTAGAAAACCCGATGTGATTAAACTCCTCTTTTTAAATCGAACGAGCATCAAACGAGTAGACAGCTGACTCAAGGCACAAAATATCTCACGCACCAGTTATCAGGAGGAGCTCAGAACCCATCTTTTTATCAGCTGCAGTTGCTCAAATGCCCCCACAGCAAAGACAGAACTAAGATGGGAATTGGACAATTTCGGCTTACTCTGCTGTTCATTTGAGGTCTTATATAATCATGTCTTAGTCTGCATTTAGGATGAAATCCGGCCTAATAAATTATGAATGGAAGCAAAAAAATGTTTCCCATAAAATCACATTCAATAATCAGCTTTACACAGTAGTGAGAAAGTTCTCTGATTTGTTATGTAAGTAAAATAGAAATATCCAATTGTAAAATATATTTTTGAAGAAGAAAAAACTCTTGCATTCACAATCTTAAATACATAAGTATTGGCATCAAAATTAACTTCAAGCACCAACAGTACTTGTTATGGGTAATAGCCAATTTAGATTATTTTTGATGCATTAATGTGTCTAACAAAGCTAGTAAAAGTGGGACCAATTAATAACAGTTATAACTTTTTTTATTTGTATACTGCTGCTGAATATCTTAATTATATATCAATTTGTATTTCTTTGATTTATATTTTGTATTAGCTAATAATCTGAATCTATAAAGTAACTTAAGCTGCCATTAAAAAGTATATTGGAATACAAGTTCAGTATTGACTTCTTCAAATGTAGTTTATAACTACAGTATGAATTAGCATGAAATGATAATACTCAGGTACTTCAGTACAGTACTTGTAAAAAAAAAGTGAATGTATGTTGCTACATTTCAAGACTGGCTTACCCATACTGACAACTATTGATACAATGAAAAATAAATGAAAAATGCCCCTTTTTGTCCTTGATGGTTTGCTCGAGGCTCTGCTGGCAGGGACAGTATGCTAAACAGTGTCAGTGCAGTGAGTGTTTTATACTCCCCTCAGTTATCTGCTTGTAACCATGATTGCAGACAGATCACACAGAGCAGAGGGAGAAGGCTCCATTAGGCTCAGCCTCTCCTGACAGACGTTTGTGCAGAGACCCCTGCCCTGCTGCTGCTGAGCTGCATCTGCCTCCTTTACCGAGCCAGGCCAATATGAGCTACAACTCTGCTATGAGAGAGGAAACCGGCTGAATACTAATACACTGGCCTTGAGTGGACCTCACCACCTGCAGCCCTTTACTGTTGCAGCAAATGAAGCAAGGGCAGGGTGGGTTTTTTACTCCGTAAAAAACCTTGAGAAAAGCCCTGGTGTATTTCCGTGTGATTCCAAGGGAACAATTACAAGACATGGACGGGCTCCAAGATCATTAGAATCCGAATGGAGGCATGCGGAGGCTGGGTTCCCTCTGGCTGGCCTTCCTCTGAGGTGATTGATTGGGCTTTAGTATCGACCTCCTCAGAGGAAGGCTGGGACATTGGGACCGGCTCCTTTTGAACTGATAGTAAAATAACTCTGAAGGACACTTAAGTCTCATCTGAGGCAACATAAAAACTCTGCTTTTATCCAAAAAAAACTAATTGAGGCTGCAACTATTTCTGCTAGTTGCAGTGTTTTAGCATAACTTCAATGACTTTTAGTGGTGTTGTATATCCTTTTGCCATTGGCATACTTTAATAATAGCATCCTGTGTATCACCTCTAGCATCGCTATGAGACTACTTTGTAAAGTCATTCTAAAGGCGTGTTTATATAACTGTGGTTCAGTATTACGTACTTTTCTGTCTTATGTGTAGGAGGATTGTTTAAGTTCTTCATTCCTATTTTTACCTTTTTTATTTTACAGATAACACCCTCACTTTTTCTGATCCTGCACCAAGCCTGTCATGAAGTCTGCTGCTGGTCTAACAACCAGCAATTCAAACTGAACACTTTTTGCTGCTGCCTCTTACTTAAAGCTTCCCACTGGTACTCATGTATCGGAGAGAAACTCACTCTGGAGGGAACTTTAGGATTTCAGCCTTTGCAGACCATATACATGCTCAAAAACCTACATAACACATTACAGTAAAGGGAAATCCCCCAAAAGTAAAATAGGGCCCCTTTCAACATTTGATGCGCAGTCATGCTCAACAAAAATGAATGAGACAACATTTCCTTAAAGGATTTTAGCTGGTGTCAAGCCCAAAGAGAGCATTCAGGTTTAAGGAGAACGCTCCTGCTGAGTCACTCACTGCCTGTATTGATTATAATTGTCGTCCATGAAGCATCTTTTATGCCTACAGTGTCAAATAGTGATCACATCTTTGCTTTGACTGCAAGCTGTTCACAACTTATTGATAGCGATGGAAATTTACAAAAACAGACTTAATTTTGGGAACTGGCAGTGGGCCTTTCCATGACCAGGTTTTTTTTTTTTTAGCTAATAATCTGTTAATTATGATATTGGATTTTCTATACCAGATCCAAATTCTCTGATTTTCCATGCCCACTAAGCAAATAATCAGTTTTACCATCACAATGATACTGGAGGATGAACAAGATGGAGCCTCAGGTGCTGGTTTAGTAAACAGCTGGTCATTAGCGTTTACTAAAGTAAAAGGTACAGTAGCGTAAACAACCCTCCAGAGAGCCACCAGACTGGCCATCATGTGCAGTTACCAAGACAACATAATCTCAAAAGATGACATCACATGATTATTTTTTTTCTCATGTTGTCTTTTTGTGTGATGTTAGAAGCGTGTCAAAGTGGCAGAGGGCTATTTCAGGTTAGTAATGAGGTCCCAGGAGTATTAACGGAGACAGGTTTACTGGTGTTTCACGTGTGGAGCCATCTGTTTGCTTTTGTGGTGTACCACAGAGGCACTTTGCTACATGTGCTTTGGACACTACAGTAACATGAGGATGTATAGGGTGGTGCAGTGACTATGTATTTTTAAAGGCCAAGTTAGCATTGCAAGCGCTCCCTTGACAAAAAACAAGTTTTCTTTTTCTTTTTCAATATTTCGGAAAATAAGATCCGTTGCCCGTTTATGGCTAATTTTTTAGCATGATGAGGTTGCATTCAGGGACTTCGTAGATTTTGCTCTTTTATGACACAGAAGCTTCAGACATTTACAAGCTGGGTATTTGGTGACGTATTTTGTAAGGTAAAATAATTCCTGAACACAAGTGCGTTGACCACAGGACTTATTTCAGGCATCTAACCAAAACATTTTCAAAAAAACTTTGGCTTCAAGGCAAGAGAACCCAAAGTGGTAAGATGCTTACTCATTTGCAGGTTTAAGATGTCAATCCTGCACCACTCTATTACCTTTTTGTGTCTCACTCTGAGGACAAACCCTCCCTTTACCTCCAGCTTATCTGTTCACCCTGTCTGCCCATCTGCTCTCTCTGCAGACATTACACTGATGTGTGCCAGGTCTCCTCTCTTCCCTCTGAGCCTCTGGGCACCCCTGTGTCAGAGGCAGGGTGCCATCCATTCCCCTCAAATGAAAGAGCAATCTGAGGGTTCCACCACTTCCAGGTTTCCTCCACATGGACGAAAAATGATGATACTCTTGATCACCACATTAACAATCTGCCACGTTGACAGTGTGCCACATCGACTGCTGCTTTGTAGAGCTATCTATTCACTAACAGCTCACAATATAACAAGCTCAGGGTTATGACACTATGTAAAACCACAAGAAAACTTTGTGTACTTTTCACAGATCTCCAGCGTCCAATTTTAAAAATTGATAGACTGAGTTTTTTTAAATTAATTTTGTCATTATATGTATATTTTTTTGTAATATTTGATGTCAAAGTGTTGGACGACTTTCTCATCCAATATTCAATCATTCTTTGTGAATGCCTTCATTAGGGAATTTCCTGAAATTTGGCATAAACATCCACTTGGACTGAACTGATTACATTTTATGGTTGTGACCTCACAAAACCCAGTTGTGCCCTGACTCGTTAATGTAACGCTAATAATGCTAATTTGACAAAACAATTCATACAAATGTTAATAAGGATAAAATGATACAGTTTAGAATTGTTCTCTCCAAATTGTCAATGGTCAACCTCCCTGTGACATCATAATGTTCTGCAAACCTTTTCTGGACATTATTTAATGCTAAAACTGTGGAACAAAGAAGGGGGCTTATGCCCGTATTTCACATTTGGGGACACTAATCTTGGATGCCCAACTTGAATATGTGCCGATTCTATATTTTGTCGGGTTGAAGATGTGTGCAAAGCATTTTAAAATGATGTAACTTATTTACAGCAACATCCATATTTGAAGTATTGTCTGTCATGGCTGCACATTTGTGTGTTATCCTATCTCTCTCTTAATCCAACATCCACCTCAAACTCATGTATTGCTGATGTTACACGTCAGATGATTGTCATTGCACCATGTAACAAAGCTCTCTATCGGTCCTTTGTGATATAGTCTCCTGGTGAAGACAGCATCTTTTTCATTCTATATTACAACTTTAATACATTCCATCTTAGCTGCATATATTTTCTGGTATAAGAGTTTGAATAGACATGGATGTAGACTGCTACCTGACATGTTGGTGTATTTGTAATTTTTCTTGCCCTCTCTTTGGCTCTTGATAGCTCAATATGCAACCACAGCTCTCTGTCCTCTCGTGCTGAGTTCATGTGGAGTAATAGGTATTCAGTGCCAGTGGTAGGCTGATTGAGTTGGACTAATGAAAAGCCTTCTCAGAGTGCTGTCATCTGTCAGCGACTATTAGATTATGCTGTGTAAACATTGGCTGAAAGCAGAGGGAGGCATACCAATTACCCAGAGATGGAACAAGATTTAAGCAATTCTATGAAATGAAACTCGATCCCCTTTCTCTCTAAAACTATTTTCATGGTGTATTATCAAAACAATAAAAAGGCTGTGTTTGCTAAACATCTGTCTGTGTTGTGCTTGTTTTCCAGAATGGTACTGACTATGGGTTCTTGGTGCGTCAGAACTCTGAACTCCTGCGAGCCCTCGATGAGCTGGAGAAGACTTGTACCACACTGAGGGAGGAGAATGGCCTGCTGGTAAGTCTAAAAATAATGGCAGAGTCTGCAGTCCTTACTGAAGGCTTCATAGAAAGTAGGCCAAGAGCAAAGACGGAGACAACTAAACTTTTTTAACGTGCATAGTTTCACCAAGGCGTCATTTATCCTGTTTATAAATAGATCATTATCTTGACAGAGTGTTTCCCCATTAATCTTTTTAATGTCTTCCGGGTAACACACACAAATGTTACACGAAGTAGGAAGTGTGCCATTTAATCTTAATTTTGTTTTTGGAAGTGTCAGAAACAACGAAATTATGTGATCAGATTACATTAAAAGGTAACTGTATTCCTTTACAGTTGCATAACAAAGAGGTAATCAGATTATGGAAACATGTTTTAAAACGGGGATAACTAGCAGGGTAACAATGTGAAAGGAGTCTCGAGTGAAATCATAAACTTCCGTCTTATGCTCGTAGCCTCTAGTTCAAAGAATGCTTTCAATTTCCTGGATGGGAACGCGATCAATAATCATGTTGTGTTCTAAGGAGAAAAATCAGTCAGTGAAAGCAGTGCTATCCCACTGTTAATGTTCTATGATAGTCAAAGTGTAAACATCCAATGTAGGCTCTGAAAGATTGTAGTCCTTTGATTACTTCCGTAACATCGCGTGTCTTTTGGCTAGCGCTCAGACACAGTAGTTGATTTGTAGGTTTTTCAAACGTAAATGAAATGTACCAGGTTCAATTATTTTTATATTGTGATACTTTCCGTGATTACGTTTGGTTAACGGGTAATTAGTACATTTATTTTAAACTACCATCCCAGCTCTGCATTCAATCCAAAACGATTGTTCAGGAATAAGCAAAAATGTAGAAATATTGACTTTCATGCTTGTTGTGCTACTGTAGTGTTAATTTTTGCTGCAAGCGTTGTCTGATGAGGCTGTTTGTTTCCCGTTTGTTTAGTGGAAGAGCAGTGCCCCAGAGACGGAGGAGAAGGTCAGGCGGCTGAGGAGGAAGAACACCGAGCTGTCTGTGCTCGCTAAGAGGCTGGAAGACAGAGCTCGCAAATTGCAGGAAGCCAACCTCAGAGTGGTATATACGGCACAAATTAAATACATCACATTTCAGCTTCCGTGTGAAATGCTTTTCCCCCCACTGTGACCCAAAGTGACTCATTATCACGCAGCACCATCCAAATAACCACATCACCATAATGTCCGGTAATGAGTTGAATGGAATAGTTCAGCATGTGATGAATGTGAGCCTTGTTGAAAAAATACCAGCTCCCTATTAAATATTTAATGCATCACTAGAATGGATGGAGGAACTAGGAGGTTTCCTGAGATAATATCCACCAGGGGCTGAAATTAGGGGGAAAGGAAGAAGGGGGAGATTTTTATTTTTGATAACGAGAATAACTTTGACTGAAAGATCATATTTATTTGCAAAAATTCAACCTTTTTCTAAAATTGTAATATAAAAAATACTATAATAACTATAATGTATCTTTCCACAGCTCACTCATTGTTGGTGAAATTGTAAATAATTAGGTTGATGATTTGTCATTTTAATTTAAGGATAAGCTGCATGCATGCAAGGTGTCACCCTTTGAAGTTGGATGTAGTATTTACTCTTGATGTGGAAGAGCCTCTATCTCTCCTGAAGAGCAGTAGGGGCTACCTCTCTGTCTGGGATGCTTCGGTCACTGGTTTGTTTTCACATTGCACCTGTTCACCAGACTGAGGGAGGGACCTCTCCCCTCCCCCGCTCACCTCCTGCTGCTCACTGAAGGGCACAGCAATGCAGCTCTGATAAATCTACACCAAAAAAAGAAAGACTTGTGAGGCTTGATTAACTTAAAAGTCGGCTTTTATTATGAGAGACTGACCCACAGATAGTAAAATACCTACAGTGGTGGACACGCCTCTGTTATTCAGAAGGAACATACAAGTACCTCTGCTCTACCTATACCAGATATCTACTGAGTAAAATGATACACTTTTTCTTTGAAAGAGGAAAAGTTTCTTCCTCTAGGAAATCCCGTCTGGTGATTCAAAGACGTATTTCCTTGTTGCTTTTGTTCAGGTGAACTCCCCGTCGCTTATGAGACCCGGGTCAGTGGAACAGTACAAGAGGGCGTTCGCCCGTCAGCGGGCCCGGGACCTGGCCCAGCACGCCGACGCTCTGCTGTCTAAAGACAAAGAAATCGCCTCTCTGCAGGAGGAGTGCAGAGAGCTGGAGTCACGGCTGGGCAGCACCAAGGTATTTATCACACAGCCTCTCTTTAACTGAGAGGGGCTCACTGATTTGGACTCATGGTAAAGACATATGCTCTCCTTTTCTATGTGAAGCACTTTGGGCCACAGAGGTGGAGTGTAACTAAGTACATTAACCTTACTAAAGTTACATTTTGAGGTACTTTTACTTCTACACCACTACATCTCCGAGGGGAATATTGTACTTTTTACTACACTACATTTATCTCGCAGTTTTAGTTACTAAACATAAAACATCCTTTTTCTAACAAAAACACATCATGTTCCAACATTTTAATAATTTAAACTTTAAACATTTGTTATGTTAAGGTTTGTACTGTAACAAAAAATGTTTGGGTGGCTGTGTCATTTGTGACAATATTTTTGACTTTTTTACATACCAAGCAATTAAATAAATCCAAAATGAAAATAATCATTAGGTAATCGTTATAGAAAAGTGAGTGAACTCGTGCCTTTACATAAATTCAAGAAATATTATATTTAATAGTTAGGCATTCACAGAGGACTTTTTTTTCCTCGTCTGATACTTTTGAAAAATGAAATACATGTTCCTGAATATACTTACAAACTTTTCCTTTAGTAATATTTCCCATGCAGGACTTGTACTTGCATTTGTACAGTGTGTTACTAAAAGTAACCAGATGTGTTACTAAAAGTAACACACTGTACAGTAGAGGTTCTGGATTTTTCCTCCACCACAGTAAACAAAAACAAAGCTGAGATAACTTTATGGTTCTTCCAAGTTTTTTGCCTTGTTTCATATACCCCACTCCTCATCCCTGCCACAAGCTCGCCCTCTGCTGGACACCACGGGTACTCCTTCTGCTCCTAACTCCCTCCTAAGCCCGTATTACTGGGGCTGCGTCACTGCGGATGACTCGATGACAGTGCAGGAATAGGCTGCCTTCGAAGTGCCTGTTTTTAATTACTGCTCCACTGACTTAAGAGCTCATTCTCCTGAATGTGAACATCTGCTGGGTTTCATAATGCAGGGTCTCCCAGGGTAAGCTAGCTATTGATCTAGTGAGAGTGTCTGTGTGGGACGTCCCAGATTCTCACCAAGTAATGAGGACAAGGTGGAGGGCAGATGAAGGAGTATTCTCAACTTGAGAGGGAACATTTAGATATAAAGTCTGCATGATGATGTCTAAGACCTAGAATCAGTTTTACTGCTGCTTTAAGCTATGTTATTGTTATATCCCTCTGACTGTTCTATCTACTACCGTTTTCATTTATTGCATTTGTTTTAAATCTATGTATCTATTAAACACAATCTTAGAGTGTTGTGAAATCAGTTCTAAATTGCAAGAGCAATAGTCTTAACTACTTAACAAAACAAATAAAACAGTGCAACAAACATAACAGTGCAAGCAAGTAGCATGAATAAGAAAATATTTACACAAGGTCGTTTACGATAGAACATACCTAACTTTCAAATTAAATACTGTAGAGTTGAATAAATACTGGTTACTTTTACAATATATAAATATGTACATATGTGGAATAAAAAGGATGTACAAATAAACAGTGTATTATAAACAAACAGCATGTGAGTGGTTCAAAGAGCTAAGGAGTTTAACAGTCTAATGGCCTCTGGGACAAATAGTGCCTGAATCTGGTGGCCTTTGCCGGATGCTACGGTACCAATATTGTGATGACTTGACAACGTTCCTGTCTATCTTTGATGCATACGTCTGTGTCTGTGCAGGGCTCCCCTCTTCCATCTGGCCGAGTGGAATTCGAGAGGCTTCTCAGGGAGTCTCAGAGGGAGGTACTGCGGCTCCAGAGGCAGCTGTCCGTCACATCATCTGGGCAGCAGCACGACCACAGTCCCGACCTTGGCGGCCCGGCGAAGTGTGGGAGGATCCAGGAAGAAGAGGAGGAGGAAGACAAGAAAGAAGATGAGGAAGATAAGGTAAAAGCACCCCCTCAGATCAAGGCTACCCTTACCCCTGTTGGTATAAGACCAACATAACAAGTAACATGTAATAAGGGATTTGAATTAGAGGGCCTTGTCTATGCAAACTAAGAAATGCTGAAATCAATAGAATTCCTTTAATGTCTTCCAACCAAATTAAGTATAAATACTGACGGTGTATTAACACATGTCCAACACTAATACAATATACAAAAAACTGTAGGATAACTTGCATATTGTGCTTCTGGATGTTGCACATTTTCTATTTATTTCTTGTATATAGAGCCACAAGCCCTTTTATAAGTAATAAACAAATATGGAAATAGATGCAAAAGAATATACTAAGCTGTAGTTTGGATATAGACATTTGTGCAGAGTTCTATATATTAATTTGGGATGTTACGTTTTTTTTTAAACGGCTACAATGATGCTGTTCGTTTTACTTGCAGTTAAGTGTGTGATGAAAAGCAGCACACACCAGATAATGTTTTACACCTAGGGTTGTAAACGGTATTTGCACTGCAGTATGGTTTGAATTATTTGCCCCTTGGTCATGCACACTGAGTTTTTCCCAAGTCCAGTATACATTTACGTTGGCATGCATGCTGGTTCGCAGTGTTACATAATGGCTTGTCGTTGGACTCGATACTAATCTGCCACGAGCCATAATGAGAGGATTCCCTGCCTTGAACTTGGGCCTGATCAAAGATACAGAAGTCACACACTCCCATCCCCTCTGCATTTAATACTCATCTCCTCGCTTCTCACTTCTTAGAAACATTAATTTACTTGGGAAGTGATGTGCTGATCAGTCTCAGGGCAAAAAAGCTAAAATGCACATACTTTACGCCTTAAATATTTAAATATGTAATGTATTGCAGGAATTACATTACAATAATTGAAACATTTAGTTTGTCACGCCACTGAACATATGACATCTAACAGTGACATATCATTCAAATAGTGACATTCTTAAAGGCATCATTTATGTGCGTTAGAACCAGTCTTGATCACCCTAAAGGCATACATCTCTTTTATGGAGATACAAAAATGTCCTCACTGTGGAGTAGAGTACATTTTCTGCCTGTGAAGCTCAAATGAGAATGCCGATTGTGGTAATCTCCCCCGTTTGTGGGACGCGCACACTCAGAAAGGGGCCATGTTGTGTGAACTCTAATCCCCTCTAACAACAGAATGGTACAGTCCAGTAATCCGCTCTCTGTTGCTGTGGCAGCGGTGAGAGGGTTTTGCATGGTAGGTAAGACTCCAGTCGCACTAAAGACTTTGCTATCTCGCCCTGCTCTGGATAACTAGCAGGCCAAGGGACGCCTTGACGTTGGCACAGATCACACCAAAGGGGTAGGTCATCTTCTGAGTTTTGTCATCTCCGTGTGTCGGTCTCCGTTCCCGCTGTACTTCTCGTTTACTAACCTCGTATGTGCCTGCTTGGACGTTAGCCTGCAGAACTCAAAGTTCAGACTTAACCCTGAAAACTAATCAGTCACATGACAAATCGGGAGCGATCATTTGTGTTAGATATTCAAAACAGCATCTTATTCTGCAAGATTATAACTGTTACATGTAAGTTTAAGAAAAACCACTTGCAGCTGTTTGCAGGATTTTTCTTCTAGGTCTCATAGTTGCTGTTTTTCTATGTTCATTTCAGTAAATCCTCTGCTAAATTGCAGCCATGCCTGTAATGGCATGCTACTTCCTTACAAATGAGAAAGAAGCGACATGCATTAGGCCTATTGAAGGGCAGCCAGTCAGAAACACGGTTTTATAACTGTCATATTTTGGAGCTTCCAGATGCAGAATTTAGATGGGGGGGACTTAGTGACAGGGTGGTAGAGCGTTTGATTGGTGGACATCGATATGCTACGTATTAAAAAGAAAATCAACGGCCAGGCCAATCCATTAAGGTGCTTTTAAAAGAAGTGATCCAGTTACCCGTTTCAGTAGTCTGCAGGGATTACACCAATGTGCTTATGGCATTCAGGGCCTGCCGAATGGGATCTGACCCTGCTTTAGTACGCATGGGCCCAAGGTGTACTTGATCCTCTAGTATACATGGACCACATCAGTGTGAGGTGTACACAATGGCACCTCGCTGTGTGACGCAAAGTGCACGTAGAGGCGAGCCTCAGTTACAGGAGGATTTGATCTAGGATCGAAGCTACCGTAACATTCAAATTGCCTGTGAGGATATATGTTAGACACGGCTGCATCCTTCATCTGGCCATTCATTGATAATGTTTCATATAACTTCACACATTCTTTAAAATGTCAGTATTGACTTCATGTATTTTATAATTTGAATGTTTTTCTGAATGCACAATCTTTAGACTAGTTTTGCCATACCCTCTACATCCAATTTACTTTTGGAGTGACATGTGAAGTTCTTGTTCTACTGTGACTGAAAAGCCAGCAGCAACGTTTCAAAACATTTCAATTTTAAAAGGAGTATAGTTCATCATGTCGTATTAAACATGTCCGTTTGCAAAGTGCATGGAAGTACGGAAACAGGAGAAGACGTTTCTGATTTCTATATTTTCGAAGTATATAGAAGTACTCGTGTTCTCCGTTGATATATTCTGATATATTTTCCTTTATGCCATGACCCAGTATATCCATAATACCAGCCATCAGGTGATGGGATGTGAGCAGAACATGACATCAAGCGAGAACTGTTCTTCAAGTTTCATTCATTCAAACGACCTCTTAATGAACTCAGAAGTATATTGAGGAAAATACCTTATTGTCAATATAGCATAGAATAGAAAAATAAATCAGGAAAATACATACTATAGTAAAAAGCTGAAAAATCAAACATTAAAAGAAACTGGAGGATTTTAAAATTCCCCAGAGTAAACAATCAATGACATAATAATATTGACATCCTTTCAAGAAGCCGTCAAAGCCATGACTTCAAACTGTTTCCTGTTGAACTCCCTCCCCCTGCATCATTACTCCGACGGTTCCTAATGCATTCTGTTCTATAGTTTATTTGTGTCTTATCTTATTTACTTCATGGCATATTTGTTTATTGTGTAGAATGTAGTAGAAGTATTTTTCAAGCTCAGGTGAAACAACTGCACCAGCAACAGAAACTAATAATTCAAGTTTTTTCAATAAGGAACCACATTGAAAGTTAGCAATGAATTTAAAGGGTAAAATAAACAACCATTAAGGGTCTATAAATAAATAGTATCATCAACAGTTAACTTAAGTGCAGTGTAAAGTCTGCAAATGTCTGCCATTCACATTTATTTTGTGTATAAGCCTGACTCACTCAATGCTTGAATGCATAGCAATCAGGTACAGGCTTGTTAGATTTTAAAGATCACATGCACTTCTTTTAATGTCATACATGTTATAAAAGAAAATGAAATGTATAAGTTATATTTACTGATAAATTGGAGCCAATTCAGGTTAAAAACAAATAATAATCACATCTGTATTTATGTGCAAGTTTGCCTGCCAGGAAACATAATATTGAAGTTAAGGATAGCTAACAATGTACTTAATTGCAGTGTCAAATACTATATGAACATTTTCACATGCAAGCAGGTTTTGTCCTACCAGATTATATTTAATTTGACTCCAGTGGCTTCAGCAACATTACGAAGCGTGTCTGCACAGCATGTTTAAATGCCCCATGCTGTAGAAATTGTCATTATTTATATTTGTGTGTAAAGCAAAGTAAAAACAATCTGGTCAGATATTGTCACAAATATCTCAGTATGTGGTAATCATCACATTTTAAAATTGGTGAAATGTCATAATTATCTTTTGAAAGCAGGAACTGATATTTAGATTGATATACTGTATGTATTTGAAGCTGATATTTTTGATTCGACCACACATGACATTGACTAGTTGATAATTCATACTTATTGTAAGACCAACATGGACACCATTAATACATTCACATAGTATATAACTATTTCATAATATGTTAGTATGGCTTGATGTGTTAGTTTGAGATGAGACCAGGAACCAGCTGTACACTTATTTTATTACTACTCTTCTAAATATATATACAAATATTAAAACATGTTCAATTAAACAATTGTATATTTTATTATAACTGTTTGGATATTGTGAATCTTTATATTAATGCTTCTAGTTTTTGTATGTATTATAGCTGGTTATATATGTAGTGTTTTGAACTGTTTAAGGGCAACGAAAGCACAAACTCTTCGCATATATACTGGTCAACGTCTATTACATATATTGTATAGTTGTCCTGTGGGTACTGATTCTAATCTGACAGGATTTACTCTTTCCCCCACATTTTAATATATATATATATAATATTCTTGAATTGATGAAAGTAGTGAAGCTACAGTAATAGGCTTTGTCCCTGTTTAGTGGTAGGATTGACTCAGCTATTGATTCCTTTCTTTGCTGTTTCTAGTGATTGAAAAAGATAATTTGGTATTTTTCTTGCTGAATATTTTTAAATATATTATCTTCTTGGACGCAAATTGTGAAAAGAAATGGAATGAATACTAATTGAGAACTCATTGTAAAAACCATAAGAATGCCTGAATATGTGATTCTCAGATCTAAATTTAAAAAAATTAAATTAATTAATTAAACAGAATTTAAATCAGATCTTCCCAGAAAAGGAACTATACAATTGCAAATTCACATGAATTTGGGCACTACTCCTTTAACACCTGGTCTGTTAGCTTTTGTATTTCAGATTATGCTCAATTTCACTCAATTGATCTTTTTATCATTAGTGTCCTAATGAAGAAAGAGAATTAAACACAGCACTAAGTCATTTTCTAAAACATGAAGTGCCTTTTGGCCACACTAACTTTTGTTTGGTCAAAGTGTTGCCACATAAACCTATTTTCATAAAAGCTCTGGCCTAAAGCTCTCTGACAGTTCCTTTTATTCCTCCTGATATTTTATAAATGAGGGATTATGTTATATTTGCCCTGTGTTCATCCGTCACAACCTTGATATCACCCGTCACCTAAATCCTGATTAGATTTGCTTTGTGAACCAACGTTTCTTTTTCAAAAAGGATTGCTCCTCTTTAAAGGTTTGTAAACCAATAGGAATACAAATCATACTTAATAATATGTTGTCACTGAAAGGTATGGAAAGGACACAAGTAACGACGTAAAGAAGAGCTGCAAAAAGTAGAACAATAATAATTCAAAAGGATGAGGTGTGTTCAAATTGACGTAGGGTTTCACCTTTGCCACCACTTTTGTGTCACTACATTGGCAAAAGCCTGCCAGATCACTGCAGTTTGCTCCACACACTTAAGCCAGCCCACTCAATAGGTGTGACATGCTACAAGCTAATTAAGAATCCCAAGAAGACAGGTTTAACCGCGGCTGCCGAAATACAAACGTGGGATTGCCGGGCACGTATGATTGATGTGACGGGATCTTAATGACCACCAAAAGAAATTAGCAACAGAAAAGTCAGCAGTGTTTTTTTTAAAGCCCTCATGGCTGTGCACTGTTTTTTGTACAGGGGCCAATGGTATTAGTGCCTCCTGCCGGCCTTTCGTCACCACTACTAACACCATCTGGTCACCTAGCCAAAAGATAAACTGGGGACAGACTCGCTTAACGCCACAGACACTCATTTGGGGCTCAACAGTCACTGTGGGTCATAAGGACCGCTTGTTGGGATCTTCTGTATCTGTAAACATATTTATCCTGTGGAGACAGGAAAACGTTCCCCTGATTCTCATGCTGCCAGAAGTAGAACTATTGTGATAATAAGGAAGAGTGATAGGGTGCTGGGAACTTTATCTTGGTATATATAGTATTATATCACACCAATCAGGCCTAAATACTAACTTTTAAAGTCATTGCCGTGTGGCAGAGAACTTCTAAATCAGTTATACATCATCTTAATAATTCAAATGTTATATAAAGTTCTTGGTAGTTTGAAAATTCAAGGGTCAACGTGTCCACACTGATTCTTGGTATAAAAAATAGCATTAGTGCAGCTGTTGTCATGCTCTTCACAGATCCCAAAAAATATATTTAGATTCAGAATACTTTATTGTTCAATACATGTACATAAAATGGAAATGTGTCTTTGGCACTGGAAAATACTCGCCATACACATTACAACATACAATTCACACAATACACATAAAAGGGAAACTGCATCTTGAAGTGACTAAGTGGCATTGCTAATAAAAGAGCTGAGTGGTTTGTTCTTCCACTGGCTTTCGTTCCATTCAAATGTTTGTTGTATTCAAAAGGAATCATTGAATATCCATTAAATAAGGTGATGGTGGCAGAATGTCCTTAAAAGGATCCTTGAGGCTTGGAAAGGGGACTTAAGGTTGAGTCAAGGTGTGTGTGTGTGTGTGTGTGTGTGTGTGTGTGTGTGTGTGTTTTTTCAGTGGTTGCTTCCGTTCTCTCCCTTTCAAATTGTGGTAGCGCAGTTCCAGTTTTGAATGTAAGAGGAATCTTTTCTCAAAATATCTAGTGCAACATATATTTAACATTTATAGATATGGGCTGCTATTTGCTGTCCCTATTTTAATTTGTTAGAAAGTTGATGGCAACCACAGGAACCACAATCCAATACTTGGTTTTCCCTTTGCTCAAATTTGTTTATATTCTTTCTCTCAATGGTATTATCATCATATGAAAGTTGGTAAATGGAATTACTTTCAAAATAAGTCTTTTTTTCAAAAAAATTAAAAATACATTGCAGCTAATTGCTACCATATCAAAGAAATACAATACTTTTGTTACATTTGCTAAATGTTTTGCTTTTTTTTATTGTGTATTATATTTTTAAAACAGTAGGATTCACCATCCACTGGAAACATCGATAAGCTCCTGTAGCACTTAACCTCACTCATTTATTTCGTTAATATTTGCCTTCTTTACTCTCCGTAGTATTGTATTCCATGTTATTTAGCTTGTGCTTTCATCCAATGTGACTTACCTACACTTCAAAAGCTTAGACATGCCTCCGGGAGGAATTTGGGGTTAAATATCTTGGACATGTTGAATGCAGTGGGGGATGGCGAACGAACTTCTGACCCTCATTGACATAATGGATTAGAAAAAACTAATGACATATAAGTGATACACATACAATAAAATGATCCGTACATATGAGTATCTCCATGGAAATGCTGTAGTCTGGACTGAGAGGTCTTTGAGTGACTAACAATTTGAGAGTAAGCAGGTTGTAAAGGAGATATCCCCTCCCCAGCTCGTGACACCGCGCCTTTGATCCTGTTATTGGGTCATGGCTTTGGCTGCACTAGCACAGTTCTACTTTGAGCATAAGTAGGTTTGCTCTAAATTTAGATACTGATTCCCCACTCTTAACCCTTAACCAATGTCAGCCAATGTCCACCACCTGGATCCAAGTAAGACAAATCATACAACTTTTTAAAATGAACAGCAAAGAAAACAGCCACTGTGAAACATTCAGGTCACTGCACTGCTGCCTAATTAGAAAGAACAGGCTTCCCTGCTAATGTGTGTGAGTCCTGTCGCAGGCTGCAGGGATTCCCCCCGGATTATTCTTTGATTTTAGTTGGACAACTGGGAAGGAGGCTTGCTGCTAATCCCTCACTGTGTGGGGCGTTTAATGTTGATTGTTACTGTACAATATAACAACCCAGGTTGCTCTTGTACAGTGTTCGTAGTTATACCTACTATACCTAGTCATACTATATTATTTGAAAGTAACCCACATCATTTATTTGTATTTAAATAACCCACATAATTAATCTGTTCGTAAATAACCCACATAATTAATCTGTTCGTAAATAATCCACGTAATTCATTTGTATGTAAGTAACCCATGAAATGTATTCATACTGAATATTACCTACATAATGAATGCGTATATAACTTAGCCGCGCAATGAACTCGAATGAAAGTTACCCACATTTTTTTCGGACTGTATGTAACAATGGAATTATTATGAACTGTATATAATCCACGTAATACATTTATGTCTAACCCACGTTTTCATAAAAACCAAAACAGGCAACATACTGTAGTATATATAACAGTAAAGCCCATGTAGTAAGACCAGGAGACCACTGTTCGTGTCCCAAAAGAAAGCAGAAGTTAACGTTTACATTGTGATGTGACTTACGTTACGCCATTTCCGCAGTTATTTTAACTCAATCTACAATATTTTTGTGAACTTTGTGGTTTTCTTGCCTAAACTTAAGCAAGTAGTTCAAACATACTTATTTTAATCCAAAACACAATCTTTGAGTAAACAAATCCAAGTAGTTGTATTTCCTTTACAAGCAAGTAGTTTAAACATTGTCATTTTTAATCCAAACCAGAAGTTCATGTTTAATTTGTCACATAATTTCCCAGAACATCTGAGAATGGCTAGCACTTTAGAATCATTTAAATCAAGTCTAAAAACATTTATTTTTAACATGGCTTTTAAAATGTAAATGTTCAATTTTTCGAACTGTTAAACATGGTTTTCTTTCTTTTAATTATTTTGTGTGTTTTTGTATTTCTTCTCAATGTATTGTGTTTTCTCTGTTTGATCCTGTAAAGCACTTTGAATTGCATCACTGTATGAATTGTGCTATACAAATACATTGCCTTGCCTTGCCTTGCCTAATGCCATTTTCGTAGCTATATTAACCCAAAGTAGTTTGAGGTTAAAATAAAGTAGTTTTATTGCTTAAACTTCAGCAATTACAAAGATATACCTATTTATTTATTTTTAAGGATTTTTTGGGCCAGATTAGCCTTTATTGGAGATGACATGGTTCCTGGCTTGACCTGGGTCCTCCGCATGGGCCGCCAGCTCTAACAGGTGAACTATATGGCGGCCCATATATGCCTATTTTAATCAAAAACTTATTTTCGTAAACCTAGCCAAGTAATTGGGTTATCTGAACAGGTTCAGGTTCAGCACTGCAGGGGGTTGTGCAGGCATACTAATTGCTCAAGTTGCTGGACAATCGTAGAAACACGCACAAGAATTACATTCATATGAGCCCTTGAATGATAATGCGTTAAACATCATTACGATTACAATTTTTCCTTTTTTTAATATCTTGGTTCTCGCCTTTACAGATGATGGCGGTACATTTGACTTACTGGATGTTGTTTGTGTCCCCTCCAGGTTGTAGGAGAGACCCCATGTGTGGTGTTAGATGAAGCTCCATCCAGGTGTGAGAAGACTCCCGGAGAGGAGGAGGAGTCGGGGCTGCGAGTAACGCCCCAAACGGGCCTTAGCCCGACCCCCTCCCATCAGGAGGAGCACACAGAGGAGCAGCACCTACAGTTTCTGGTGAGAGCATTTAGCACCAAACTCGGATGATATTGTAACAGAATGCATCAATTCTGGTTATTGCTTGTTGGCTTTTAAAATGTACACTTTTTCTTACAAGTCATTTCTAAGTCCTACACTCCTCTGAGCAGAAATAACTGCACATTGTGCCTTAATGCATGTTTCTAGCTATTAACTTTGCATGTGAAACTAAGGCTTGAATTCAGTGCTGCGGCTGAGCTGACTGCCACTGAAGGAAACTACAGTCCGATCTGTTATGCAACGCTGGGATTATTTTGATCTTGTCCCCTGGAAACAGAAGAGTAGCACATTGCCCTTGCTGATTCCAAGTGGGCCTCGTGGCTTAAATGGAACATATTCCCTCTCAGCTTTGTGTTGACAGTCTTTGTCAGGATGAGTACTGAGTAGAGCACATGCAATTTGTATCGGCACTACCCTCAGCGCTTATACTGATGTGTCAGTAGCCTTTTAAAAAGCTGTAAGCGAAGTGTTCTGATTGTAAGATGTCCTAAATATTCTGCAGATGCACTCCTGTCAACCGAATTATTTCTGCACACACAGCTGTCTCATTTTAATGAACTCGTAATTAAAATGTGCATAATTATGAAGGGAGTGAGCATGTACATAATATAAGTTAGTTTAATACTGTGCATCAATACATTTGAAACTAAAGGGCACAGATTATAGCTGAACAAGGAGTAATGTGAATTATTTTAACTTGGAACATATTTTTATCTTTGCGGTTTTTTTTTACATTTTGGATTATTATTTAAATAAGAAAATGTATAAAGAAAAATTTGAAAAAGAGTTATATCCACATTCGTTCTGCATTATTCGTTCTAGCCTATTAGGTTTGTTTGATTGAACATTTGAAAGAACAATATATAATGCAGACCGATCATTGTATTTAGCCTTCAGAAACTGTAAAAGTTATATCAAATGCAAAGTTCTATCTACTCAAAAACGATTGAAATTGTTTGTTTTACACACGCTTCCTGCAGTCCTTGTTGCGTTTACAGAATGTAGTTATGAGCAGCCGAAGAACCTGAAAACCAAAAGTTGAGTTAAACAGTTGTAATTGTGAAACAGCTGGCAGAACATTAAAGTTCCAATCAGTGGTCCATTTACTTCACAGCACTGATTTGACTGAACAACACTATGATATACGTTATTCAGGCTTTTTTATTGCACAATCAAGCAAATCAGATCACAGATTCCAGTGTAATTATCATTACAGTCCTCCTGTGCCATCACTGGGACATTATCTCTGCTAGTAGCCTACAATTAGCCGGTAGTCTCCTCTATAGCCCCCCCCCCCCCCCTCCCCCCCACACACAGTCACAGCTGTAATAATGGTTGGAGGTCCGGTTGCTGTCTGAAATAAGCTGATTTCTTCTATGCTGGTCCTGGCATGTAAGCTGCATTTAGAATAATTAAAGCATGCTAAGCTTTGTATTGCCTAATTGCCATCAAGCCTGAGGTCAATATGGAAGCTAAAGCCAATGTAAACAGCATTGCAAAACGTAAAAAGAAATCATTTAATATTCTACATGTTGTTGTTCATGGTTTGACTCTACTCTTCTGCCCTTTGTTCCGCAGTCTGTGCAGTTTAAAACCTTGTAGAGATTAGGATTCAGAGTAACTCTCCTTGCTTTGTTGTTATTGTCGATGCAGGAAAGTGAGCTGAGCAAGAAGAGAAAAGAATGTGAAAACCTTGAGCATGAAGTAAAGAAGCGACAGAAGAGATGTCTGGATTTGGTAAGAGAACTTTTTGCTCCAATAATTGCTTTTCCTTTGCCACTGAACATCACCTAGGTGGAGCGCTGCAATTATTTTTCAATTAAAAGCTTTTATTTAGAAGATTGCAATGTCTTTCGTCATATTTTAAGATGTTATCACCTTAAAAGAAAGTTTTTTTTAAAATGATTCACCGCCAACAAATATAGATTGAAGCAGGTTGTTTAGTTATGTTAAAATATGTTATTTTCGGAAATTATTATATCTATCCTTTTTTAATACATTTTGACTTTTGGAGAACACTCTAGAGTTAGTATTTTAAATGTTTCGGAAGTCGCAAACAATCCTTCGCCACCACCACTGAAATCATTTTGTAGAGAGTATAATTCTGAAAATATAAGTGTGGTCTGATCTTTATGTGTAAATGTGCAGCAATAATAGGCTTACACAGAATGAAAAAAAATGCTTTAACAGGTCAATTTACAATTTGATGTTATAAATGAGGTTTGGAACTGTTCGCCACAGTCCTATCATAGTGGACATAAGGATGGGTTTAAAGACATGGCTTGTCTTAGTTTTATCTGAACCTTTTTGTTTTGTTTTGGTAACAGGAGAGCCAGCTTGAGGATGAGCGAGGCAAAAATGAGCGACTAAAGGAGGAGGCAGATCTCCTCAGGAGGAAGGCACTGCTGCTCGACCAGGTAAGGGTCTACCTGCTCAGACAAGCTCTTAAAAGGAAATGAGAAGATCTGCACGTGCATTGACATTATGAGAAAGCACCCACCTAGGACAAGTGTTCTGACTTTTCAGTCCATACTAGTGTGGCAGTCAAATGTAAAATAATATTGTCAATAATATCATTCTGACATAATTCTCCTTTCTCCTGTTTGCCAGACTCGGGCTGAGAATGAGGAGCTGAGGGAAGATCTCTCTGAAGTGACCGCTCAACACAATTCAGTTCTCGAGGAGAACCAGAGACTCCGTGCCAAACTGGAGAACCTAGAGCAGGTCCTAAAGGTACTGCTGGGCTCAGATACAGCTTTATCCCCCGCTGAAAACAATGGCCTTCTGATATTTGTTCTCTTTCTGAACAGCATATGCGTGAGGTCGCCGAGCGAAGGCAGCAGCTGGAATTGGAACATGATCAGGCACTGGCTATCCTTAAGTTCAAACAGGATGAAATCAAACGGTTACAGCGGGTAAGAACCACAGCCTTGTGTACAATTTATGCATTTTATTAATTTTCTAGCTAGAATCGAACCCTTAGGAAGCTCATTTTTTGGGGAATGATTGGCTTCAGCCAGCAGGAGGCAACCTTTGGGCACCAATAAAACCTGAGGTGTCAACCGAGCTTGAGAATTTTATGAGCAAACAACAATAAAGGGACTACAATGCCTTTTATTTATCCTCAGGCTCAGTTATACGCCAAGAGGGAGCATGAAGGAGTTGTTCAGATGCTGGAGGTAAGTCTGTGTAACACCAAACACATTATATCTTCACAGTGTAGTATTTTTATAAGCTCAGAGTTGCTTTCGAGAACGTAAAATGACTTGCTAAAACAAAAATCAATGGTGTCAGACACAAAAGACTTTGAGAAGATATTTGAGACTTCCTCAGTAGTTGTCTCATACACTAGCGAATTTCTGTCTCAATTAATTATTGAAGGAGGTGTTTCTTATCTCCCTTACGCCAAGTAAAACAAGTATACATATTTAATTATCTCCCAGGGTTTAATAGACAAAATACATCTCATTTCCACTGAATCAGCATGAACCTGCAGCACCATGTTTCCTTATTTGAACACCTGGCAGAGAAGCTGTTGCAGAAAATACTCATACTTGTATTTTTGTTCCACTCATGGCCCTGAAAAACCGTTTGAACAGATGGCTGCTCCACCACTGTGTGACGTTTATACTCGCTCTCAGTGTGTGTAAATTCAAAATGAAAGCAGACATTTGATGACAGTGGAAGTCCCCGTCTGTATGATTGGCTGCTGATTTCAAATAATGAAAAAAGCACCAAAAAGTCCTCCCCCAGTTAACTACTATACATTGTGCTCTGTTCTCCACACATTTTGCTAAAATAAGTGTATTTTATTTTAGGAATTGACGCAGCTTGTGTTGCAGAGGGAGCTGGTAGAGTATAGTTGCTCCAGTTTTTTTAAACGCTTATTTCCTTCCTCTTGCTTTTTTTCTCTCACTTGCTGTCGCTATTTAAACCCCAAAGCAGCACAGGAGAAAGTCTCATTTGCTCTCAAGAGCTATGTACATGCTGCCTTTTTACATTTAACAGAATATCCTAATTAATTCCAAAGGCAGGCGTTGGCTGCTGAGGGCCGAGACGCACTCTAGTGATACAGGATTTTCTTGCCTACCTGGATTCAGACTGCTGTGTATTCACTTTTCTTATATATATTTTGTACAAGCATGTTTACTTTTGTTTTCCTTTTTTGTGTGACCTTTTTGCTAACCAGAGTACACTGGACTGCATGCAGGTACTGTTGCTTGGCCAAATGATTAACTTCCTGCCATAAAAACCTCCCTTAGCCCCTGTAGATAGAACCACCAAACCCCTATATGTGTATTTAACTCTGTACATTAGTAAATTCGTTTTTTATTTATGCTCCTTGTGGCCACATGTAATGCTAGTATGTGTTAATAAGGTAATTCACAGATGACGGTGTATCAACACTTATTCTTAGGTTAAAATTGTTATTTGATCTTCTTAGTGGACTTCCTGTGTTAGTTGAGGATTTATTTGAGGATTTGATTTCCCTCTGTGTTGCAGTTCCACTTCAGTTCAGTGTAGCTACATAACAACTGACTGTCACACTAGGTTTTTCTGCGTAGGTGACAGCTAACAGGAAATGTTGTTCACTCAGTTTCGTGCAGAGGCTTCTGTCTGATGAGCCTGCCAGGAAACTGCCACCGCAACCTGAAGTGAAATCGGACTCATATAGAAACTCAGTAGAGCTGAGACAAACTCCTGATAAATAACCCTGCTGTAAACTGGCTTTGTTAAAGTGAATGAAAACAGAAGCGGCAACTTTAACTTCTCATAACCTATATATGCACCTCCCTCCAAATGACTTTTACTCTTGTTTCCCCATCTTAGCTAAAGACATCGCGCCTTTTTCCCCTTTCATCTAAACCTGTATTCCTCTGCTGTTTGTGTTTGAAGCTTCTAGCAAATGCAACACTGACAAAAATCTAACAATATATTGCAGTGCTTGTTTTTCAAATGTATTATTGATATCTTACATTAGCAGCACGTAAAAGTAAATGTTAAGCTGCCAATGTGATCCATCTACCAAAATAATCATAAATGTGCACAAAAGCAAATCATGTTCCATGTTTATAAAAAGGCGCAGTAAATGCTAACAATTCTTCACACCGTTGCCCTTAAATGTATTGATTTTCCCATTTGAAGTACATTGTTTGTAAACTGTTTTCACGCTGTATGTGCAGTCCAAGGTACGAGACCTGGAGGATAAATGTCGCAGCCAGAGCGAACAGTTCGGCCTGCTGTCCCATGAGTTGGAGAAGTTTCGACTCCAGGCTTCGAAGGCGGACCTGGCCAGCGCTAGCCTCTTCAACAACGCCAGCCTCTCGGTTCTGACCAACGGGGTGGGCCTGACCTCGGAGCGAGGTGAGCCACACCACCGTGATATGTACTCACACATGATACAGTAGTACAGTAGTGTTTAGAGAGACTGTTAGTTATTCCTTCCTGTTATCGGCTGTACATTAGAGTTTATATTTAAACAATACAGATTGTTTCTCTTACTGAACTGGTGAGACAAATGCATTGCTTTGGATTATTTAATTAAAAAACGAAATGTGCACCTGCTATAACATAATAGCAAAATGTTTGTGGTAAATTAATGAGTTTTGGTGAATTTGCAAATACACAGTGGTGCTTTTAATGTTACACTGTCACCTGATCTTCAGGACAACAAATAAAGTATTCTCATGTTTTCAGTCTTGTATCAAGATAATGATACAGTTCAAGACATTGTCTAACCATAATTGTAATGTCATCGTGGATACACTTTGTTGGTGTTACTTGATTCATTCAATTCCAAAGGAAATCTACATTTAAAGGATAATTGTCCCCTGGAACAAAGCATACAGTACCTTAGGAATCTCGATAGACCGTCAGTCCACTTAAAGACAGAATGTATTCAAATCATCCAAATCACTTTTTTAACTTTCATTAGAGGTAGAGTTTTGGTAAATGTGTAGTTTCCCCTTAAACAGTAACGTCACATGGGATGTTTTTTAACCCGTGTTTCTCTTTTAAGCATCACAAATACAAACTGAGCTTAATCTCAGCTGTGAAATAAAGGCCTAGGCATTTCAAATGTCCCTTCCCTCTTAGAAATCTATAATATTGTAATACCAGCCACACTTCCCCAAAAAATAAAAGCACTAGTGCAAAAATCATCTATATCTTTCTTAGTGTATCCATCCCACAAATGTCTTCAACCTCTCTTTCCTTACACTCTTCATATGTGTTTAGACTGCACTGATGGCTCATGGGATATGGTGTCTCTGGGCGAGATAGCCTTCTGGAGTCTCGAGGGAGGTGACACTCTCTCCTGCCCTGAGGGTAAATGCTCCGCTCGGTACTCTCTCCGCCCCATTATAAATGTGTCACAAAAGCACGGCATGTTCTCCCCCATTATCTCACCCACACCGTCACAGTCCAGCACTGCCTGTAACACTCACCAGCGCATGAGGGTCACGCTCTTGTGCTGAGGTGAGAAGTGAATTGGTTAAGCCCCTTAACAGTTCTGGTGTGACACAAGGTAGTGAGACCTCTGACCTCAGACAGATGGAGATGGAGACGGGATTTCTCCTTCTCTGTTTAATCAGCCAGGTTCAACCTTAAGCCTTCCTGCATGTCAACCAGCGACCTGACCCACCTTGCCGCTCGTGGACCAGTTTAACTAGTGAGGGTCGGCGCTGTCTATTCAAGTCGTGGATTATGTATATCCTCTTTCCCTTTTTAACTAGATGTGGCCGCTGCGCTGCGTCTCGGGTCCACCCCCCACGCTGCAGGGCTGTCCAGGGTGGAGCGCTCGCCCGTCACCAAGCATCGAGAGCTGCCCACCATCAGCGTCAGCAAGTCTTCCTCCAGCAAGTCAGAGCCCACGCACCTCACCCCCAAGTCTGACACGCACCTCAGCCCTCACAAATCAAGCCCAACTCACGAGGTACAGTGCATCACTTGTAACGTGTCACAGAATCAGGAGTAAAGGTCAGAAAATAGTGAAAAATGTCCATTCCTGTTTCTCAAAGTCCAAGGTGATGTGTTGTACTGTCTAGTTTTGTCAGATCCCAACGATGTTCACTTTAATAGGATATAAATAGGAGAAAGCAGGAAATCCACATATTTAGAAGCTGACATTTTTGCAATAGATTTCATGATTAACCTATTGTAAAAATAGTTGCTGCTTTCAAGGTAAAGCGATATTGGCCGAAACCTACAGTAAGAATATATTTCACCTCTCATATTATAAAACAGTGTATAGGAATGAATTAACACTTAAAAAAACGTTGTGAAACCCCAGTAAGATGGCTACTACATTTGAAAGCTGCCTTAACACCTGCATGTGCTGGGTAAGGTGTTGGTCGTAGGTTATGTCATGACGCAGGACTCCCGCTGCATGCATCTCTCCTGCTTTCTTTGTTTCCACACAGACATGCAGAATGCTCATCAAGATTACCAAAACGAAAAGCTATGCACGATCAGATTGATTGCGTGGATTTAATGGATTGAAATCCCTCCTTAGCCTCCATGTCATCTCACGCGAGCATACACTGTAGCTGAATATGCTCAAGCTCCCTCTGCTCATTCATAGGGTTATGAGGATTCCCCATGATTAATTATTTTTGGTCTGGTTCTGCAGGACAGACAGGTCGGTGGTCTTTTCAACTAGACTATCCTTGTCTGACCACATTTCAATAAAGCTCAAATGTAGTGAGATAATTAATTTGGCGCTATGGATTGTGAAGGTTATACAGTAGTAGTTGTAAGTGATTATCCTTGAAAAGGTTTTCCCAGGGAGCTATAAATATACAAGCCCTCTGTTGTGATGCGTGTAACTACTGTTTATGGAAACTATTCTCAGGTACAACTGTGTTTCTCCACAAACTTGTTGATATTAGATCACCATATAACAAATATATTTTACACAGTATATTCCCATTTTCTTTTATGGATTTACGTTCTGTGCCCATAGTGTATGCTAGAGAAGAATGACACATTTGTTCTGTCTTTTTTAGTCCTAATATCTGGATTGGATGCTTTAATCATTAGTCAAAGTCTATGTTAGAATTATGTTTATTAAATGTTTTCGATACGATTGTTTTTTTTTGCACATGTGTGCATGCACGTTATAACTTGTTATGAGTTCATAAATTCCACAGTTGAATGTCAGACCTGTACTTTCTGACAAACAGCTATTTTATTTTTTCATTTATTGACGTTGAACACATGGGACTACTGTTTTTGTTCTCAAATATAATTAGTATAATAAAAATAGAAAAACTCACTTTTCAACTCCAGATTTGTACTTAGCAAGCCCAGCGAACAGTTTCATCAAAACTAAATGAAACATATAAGTTGCTTGCACAAACGTCATCTTCTGTCCATGGTGTTCTCAGGTGGACACCGCCAGTGAAGTGGAGGAGCTGGATATTGACGTCGCCCCGGTTCCTTTCACAACCAGCAGAGCAGCGGCAAAACTTCAGGTCTTCATTGCAAGATACAGGTAAACTAAATCATGAGCTGACTCACTGTTTCAACAGTTTGCTAATGTGTGATTAAAAAAAAAAGTAACTTCCTTGCTAATCATTCATTTCTACAGCTATAATCCATATGACGGCCCCAATGACAACCCTGAGGTGGAGCTTCCACTCACTGCCGGAGAATACATCTACATGTATGGAGACATGGATGACGATGGCTTCTATGAAGGTAAATATAATGTAACATTTGTTGCATCTACATTTTTATATTACTGTCTTGACATGGTACTCAGTGTTCAATGTGATCCCTTGCAGGTGAGCTGATGGACGGACGGAGAGGGCTGGTCCCCTCTAACTTTGTGGAACGCGTATCGGACGATGACATCATGAGCACTCACCACCCAGAGACGGGGGACATGTCCCATAACTCGCTGCTAGACAGCAGCCTGCACAGTGCCAGCCACCAGCATCATCTCCAGATAGGCAGAACCGCGGCCCCAGCTGCCCCGGCTGCCGTGCCCCCCCCCTCAGCCCCCTCAGATTCAGCATTGGCCTTGGCTGTCCCAGCCCCCCTCACCAACGGCCTGGACCTGGACTTGGAGGAAGTGGGAGTGGACGTTGTGCCTTACCCACGTAAGCTTACCCTCATCAAGCAGCTTGCCAAGAGCATCATCATCGGCTGGGACCCTCCGCTGGTGCCGGCTGGCTGGGGCAATGTGTGGAGTTACAATGTGTTTGTGGACCAGGAGCTGCGGCTCAACGTGCCCTTCGGGGCCCAGACCAAAGCAGTGCTGGAGAGGCTGGACATAAACCTCAAGGCCTACCGCGTGTCAGTGCAGAGCCTGACGGAGAAGGGCCCGTCGGACCAGATGCGCTGCAGCATGCTGGTCGGTCGGGACGTGTGTGTGGCGCCCACGCAGCTGCGTGTGGAGAGGATCACCGCCACCTCTTCCTACCTGTCCTGGCTGCCCAGCAACAGTAACTATGTGCACATTGTGTCCTTGAACGATGAGGAGTGTGAGCTGGTGAAGGCTGGCTGCTGCTCGCTGTGCCTCAATAACCTCCTGCCCAGCATGCAGTACATGGTCAAGGTGGAGGCGCGGCCGCACCGCACGCCATGGGAGTTACCTGTGGAGCGCCGGGAACACAGGAGCGCCACCATCACCTTCACCACACTGATGGCAGGTCAGGATTATCAGATATTCTCTAAGGGAGCCATGCTAACTACACCAACACGTAGTATATGAGACCCCAATAGGACAAACATTGCTTCATTAAAAATGAAATCATATCAAACTTTTATGATTGACTGGAGCAATTGCCTAAAATGTTCAATGCAGATGAAACGTTTTCAAAAAATAATCTTTTAAAAATAATAACTACAGCCTGATAGTGTAGCGAGAAATATATAAGTAATAAGTACATTATGTGTTTAAAATAAGCTGCTCCAGTTATATAATTAGAAAATCCTAAGCTTGCATTAGTTCAAATGCACTTAAAAGTCACTTTATTTTAATGCATATCCTTTAGTGTTTATACAAATAGATTTTTGGTTAGATTCATGAAATAAAGACTGTCTCTTGTTTTTTTTCTAAGACATAATATTTGTCAGTGTGGTGAATTTTGAAGCTACTAAACGAGTCTTAAAGAGGTTGTTGTTAACAAGTGGCTAAAGAGCCTTTAGCTCACTGGTGCTGATGTAGAAGACATGCACCAATGTTTAGTTATTGCCTATAACGTTAGATTTTTACTAATGGTGAAAATTGTGTTCTTGTGTGAATATTATCTGCTCAACTTAAAGTGAAGGTATCATAAGCGCTTGTTTGTTTGACACAAATCTTGTTTTCTGCAATTATCCAATATGAAATGAAAAATCTGATTGACTTTTTGTAAAGGACGATGCTATCTTCGGTGATGTTCTAAAAAACGTCACCCTTGCAGCACTCTATTCATATGATATCTTATAATCAGTTGATTGTCTACCTCCCACACAAGGACATCCGTTTATTCATGAGAGCTGCTCTTGTGTGCTGCTCTGACTCGCCTCTCTTTTACTAAGCAGCAAAACCACCTTGGCACAGAATGCATTACTTCAAAGGGGTTTCATTATCCTAAAGTGCCCTTTGTCATTATGTTTCATATTTCCGTGCCCTGCCAACAAAGCATTGTGCCAGAATTAAAGGGTAGGCTCAAAGAATTGGAAATCTGTGTGAAGCTCAAAGCAAGGACTTGGTCATTGATGTCACTCAACAACATTTCATTTTACTGAATAGATATTAGGACTTTTAAATGCATATTTGTGATTGGTGTCGTATTGGATTTGATTCGTGTTTCTCTAAATGATCATTCAAATTTGCTTTAGTCTCAAGCCCACAGTCTTGGAACTCAGGTATATTCATCTTAAGTTTCTTAATGTCCCGTTAGAGTTTAGAGTTTAGACTTGTTCTCTGTAGAGTAATATTCCCATTGAGAGAACCCTTTTTAAACCCTTGAACCATGTTTTCAATTTTATATATTACTCTATTCTATATTTATATTAAAAACGTCTTCATGTGTTGCTTGCCACTGGCTTTGCAGGTCCCCCTGATGCTCCTCTGGATGTCCAGCTGGAGCACGGCCCCTCCCCCGGCATCGCCCTCATCAGCTGGCTGCCTGTCACTATAGATGCTACCGGGACCTCCAACGGAGTCAGGGTCACTGGATACACTATATATGCTGACAAGAAGAAGGTAAAAACTTGGTGATTTATTGTTAAACATTGCTCTTATGGATACATAAAATGCATTATTTCTTCAACAGATAAAATAACGGATAATTTCACAGTTTATCATTTCAAATGTAGTTCATAACCTATAGTTTATTAACACATGGGGGTAAGAAAGGCTAAGATGTTCTGAGCAAAGATGTAAGGTTATATATTCTATTTCTCTGACCTAGCCACATCTAACTGAAATCATATTGTTAACAACAAAAGTAAATGACACTTTTGACTCTTCAAATATTTGTCTCTAGTAACAGACATAAAAAGCTTGCATTGCCAATAGCAAATGTGATTTCTTGTTCTAAAAACGTATAAAAACATCCACGGCAGAGATGACATGTTGGCTGCCCTTGTTTAGCCACCACAACCTATTGTATCAGTGTTTAGATGATAACCATGCTAAGTTCTAAACCTATTTGTTTTAAATTTGTACTTTTCCTTCTGACTTTTTGTCAGAAGTTTTATAATGTCAATATGATGTGTGAATTAAATGATTGTAACTGTTGTCCTATCAAGGTGCTGGAGGTGTCTTCCCCCACAGCGGGCAGTGCGCTGCTGGGCCCGTCTCAGATGCAGTCTCTGCTAGCAGCTCAGGAGCTCACTGTCCGCACCATGTCCGTCCACGGGGAGTCCTGCGACTCTCTGCCAGTCAATGTGCCCACCAAGCTGGCTGCCATCATGGCAGGACCGGCCCTCCCCGCCCCAGTTATGCCACCTCAGCCCTGCACCCCTACAGGAGTCAATAGCCTGTCCTCACCTCCGTCCTATGGGAACTCTGCTGCCAAAGTCTCCATGCTGCCATCAGACTCAGACACCTCTGGCCTCGCAGGGGAGGCTGCTGCCAACCCTTCTTATGCTCTCCACTCAGAACCTCTTCACTGGTCTGCTTCATATGTGAACGCCTGGGCCAACCCCTCCTCTGCTGCTGCCTTTGCTGCGTGTGAGGCCACATTACCTGCAGCCTCCAACATTATTCCAGTGGTAAACATTACTCTTCCATCCTTGCGTGCATAACGGGGCAACTATGTGTTTATCTTTCTAGATCAGAGGTTTTTGAACTATTAGCGATGCCTCTACAGGGTGGTGTGGAGGGTGAAGGGTTAGTCTTTGTCCATCATAAATAAACATCCATCAATCTGCTTTCAAATTGATCCTATACTTGCCTTAGAATACTTCTTTTTTAAATGATGCCTGTCTGTAAATCCATGTGTACACCTCAAACAGGAACTAATAATAGCTAATTTAGCATATTATTTATATAAAATATATTAAAGTTATCCTAAACCTTGTCGATTTCTACAGAAATCAAGTGAACTAAATTGTGAATTGACTGTGTTTCTCATCATCAGGTGAACGTGATCTCCCCGACCTCCTCAGCCCCTAGACCACCTCCAGTAGCAGTAGCTGCCCCAGCCCCAGTGATGGTAGCAGCAGCAGTGGCAGCAGTGTTGGAGCAGCGCAGAGACCCCGACAGCCCTGGGATCATCCGTCCTTTCCCATCCATCTCAGACTTCATCGAGGACCCCAGTGTCAGTGCCAAGCTCGGGACCCCTGAGCGCATCCCTACCCCGCCCAAAGCCCCAATCACGGACCTCCTTAACCCTCAGGACATTAACATCCACCGACCCCCCAGCTCCTCACCGCTGGAGTCTGATGCGGAGGAGGATCAGGAGAACACCCGCATGGTGTCCATGGAGGAGTTCCTGAGACACGATCCAGAGCCGACATACAGCAGGAACCAGCAGGTCAGCACAACCACTGTTTGAAGTAGTTTCTCTTTACGAGAAAAAATAATGCTCATTTGAAAAGGACGAATTACATTTTTGGTTGAGTCCTTCAAAAGTGTTGTTATATTGACCAATAACCATTGATGTAATCATTTTAAAGGTAAAAAAAAAGGCAGTTTTTATATGAAGTAGATTAGATAGAACATTTACAAATAAAGTGGCTGTAATAGATCCCTAAACACTATTTCTTCGATTTAAAGGGTACAACATTTTAACCTGCATCCGGCTGAAAAATATCCAAGTTAGCCATATGGGAATTTCTTAGAAATGTAAATATAATAATAAATAATTCTAGACCCAAGCTTTCACATTTCTAAATGTATTATATCTGACAATAAAGGACTTATATAGTCTTCAATTAACTTGGGGAACTGAAAAAACCCTGATTAACATCTACGTATTCAGTCAAAGTATTTGTTGAGTGGAAATTTTAAATATAATTTTATAATGTTAAATAAATAAAGACGATGCATAATGCAAAACTGCATTTGAGCTTGAATTTCTTCACATTTTGGCTTCTGTATAAGGCAAGCCTATATCACAAATTAATACATATTTGATTAACGCTAGCTATTACCAGTGCTATTTCGTTAGGGTAAATGCATGTGGCCAATGCCAGACGAAGGCCTTAATAATCTGATACCTTTAGCAGTATATGTATCTGCAACATGTTATTGTTTCACTTGCAGATTAATATATCTTAATCTACATTCAATGGAATTACTAAAAAGGGATTCAAGGTGTCTGGTCAATTGGATAGTTTGTTTAATAATGTCAACGCCTTTCATTTCAGAGTTACAGCAGAGGGCTTGTGGAGCCTCCCAGTGACTACCTCGCAGAAAAAAGCCATTCAGATCTGTCGGACATCCTGGAGGAGGAGGAGGAGGAACTCTACTCGGACCACTTCGGAGACGCACAGGCCAGGGGCTACACTGTCAGGTCCAACATGGTAAAGGAATGAGTGCATTGCATATCCTGTGGAAGATGTGCTGCTTTCAGCTTTTCTTGCATAGTTCAGTTATCATTCAGTGGCCTTGTCATGCTTGTGACCGTGCTTGATTATTTCTGTTTTTTCTTTCTCTTTCTTTTCTCTTTCCTTTTGCATGATCGGATTGCCTTCTGTTTTTCTGCACTTTTTTTATTTTCACCGAAAAATACTATCCAATCTCACCATCACCAATGCATTCTTGCTCAATTTGACATTTGACCTTGTAGTCACGCAATGTGCGGAATCCAGACAGTGAGGAGGAGCTACCTGAGAGGATTCTTAAGTTGCCCCCTGAGGTGCACCACGACCAGCAGTTCATCGTCCCTGAGGAAGATAGCAGTCAAGAGGAGCGTTTAGCCCGCCGTGGTCATCCTCGGCACTGGCCCAGCCCCCACCATGACCCCCAGCATTACCCGCATCACCACAACTTACCCCCTCACCATCACCACTTCAACAGGGATCCCAGAACCCTAACCAAAGAGCCTTTACTCCGGCACAGGCCTCGGACGCAGCACATGGGTTACCCTGAAGAAGAAGACATGAGTTTATATGAGGGTCCCAGCAGCAGGCGGGTCCGCTGTCCCCCCCAGGTTCCCCCCTACAGCAGAGACAGATCGCTGCTCAAAGGCCTCGGGGACCGCCTCAGGAGGGAGGCCATGATCAGGAGTCAGATGGCCGCCGCCATGAACCCCGGACTCATCCCGCCAAGAACTCACCCGGTCAGCCAGGTGAAACAGACTCTGAGGCCGCCCCTAGGTCACGAGGTGGAGATCGACGTGGATTACGGCACAGACGAGGAGGTGGGGATGGAGCAGATGTGTTCTGAGTGGTGGGTGGAGGGGGCTCCGATGGAGCACGGCAGACCCGCTCACCGCAGAGGAATGAAAGCTGACCCGCCGGTAAATGTTGCTGCAGGAAATCTGCGATGGGTTTGTTGTCCCACCCCCTCCTCCTCCCTGTAGCACTGTGGATCAATCCCTCCGAGTCCTTTTTAGTAGATAACAAAAAACTCCTCTGTTCATTAGCGAGTAACATCATCATCACCATAGTGACGAGGAGGTTAGGGAGCACATTCTGTGCTATATTTTTGGTTTGAAGTATATATTTTTGATGGCATGGCAGTTGAGTTGCTAAGAAAGTAGTTGCAATATTTAAAAAAACATTTAATCATCAACCTGTGGCTTCAGATTTTGAAATATGGATGTCAATTGATAAGATTGTATTCTATTATCAATTCTGCTTATCACTCAGGTTCACTTATTTATTTCTTATCAATTTTCTGTGTGGAACAAACGTTTGTTCTACATAGGTTTTTAGCATCCACGCAGCTGTTTTATAAATAACTATTTGTTAGTCCTTACACAAATATTACAAGCGCCAATGTTGTTATTTTTCTTTGTGAAATGAAGCCACATGTAAGACTATTTTCCCTCTTTTGTGTACCTCTTGTTCCAGCAGCTTGCACGCAGTGTTTGGCGTCATAACACATAAGCTTTTGTGATGCACAACTTTAAAAATGCAGGCATCGATTTTTAAGGGATTGATGAACTCGGAGGCATACAACTAAGATGGATCGGGCAATTTGATTATTTTCTCCCTCTGTCTGACTTCACTTCCTGTTGCTTTCATGTCCTCGTACAACTTGTTAACCGGCCCCCTTTGTCTTATCCTGCATTGGCTTACAGTATATGCACTTTAAACTGTCCTGTATCCCCACCAAAAGGAAATATCTTCATGTGGACAATGCTGGAAATTAAATTGGCATTGGATAAAACATAGATTATTTTAAACATGGACAGCTGCATTTTCTGTACATTTCCCCCCTAAGGTTCCCTCTTCTCCCCAGTAGTAATTTTTCTGAATTAGATGTTTTTTCAAATGTTCTTGTTCCCTTTTTTTGTAGGAGCCCAGTCAGATCCCTCCAGTTGAGGCGGGTCCATCGTGGGGGGTACAGGGTGAGCCCCCTTGTAAACCAGCTTCCTCACAGGCCAGACAACTCAGAGGTGAGACACTCTTTCCTCTTTCCTCTTCCTGTTTCTTGATTTCTTTCTCTCTCTTGTTGAAGCTGAGACACCTGTGCTTACTGTTGGCAAGCCTCACCCTCTCCCTCTCTCTCTCTCACATGATGGTGGTCAGATTAGCACGTTGTGTAGGAATGGAGGGGTTGTATCTGCAGAGAAGAAGTGCAAGAGATGCTGCTAAGCTGAGAAACGGCTTAACGCAAAGTGGCTTGTCATGGCAGGAGGAAGTGACATTGAACACATTGAAATAGTAACCTCGATTAGCCAGCAAAGAAACGGCCTGCGGTGAGAAAGTCACGTCCCTTTGTAATCTTCTCAGCAAGGATACAGGCTGCTCTTTAATTTAATAAACCTAAACTTTCTGGTAAATGTGTGTGGTGCACGGTTGACTACACACACACACACACACACACACACATGTGCATGCAGATAGAGGAAGGGAGCAGGGAGAAGTTCTAACTCTATCTACTAGAAGATCATTGAGGATGTGAAAGTGTGTTGCCCGTGACTCTTGCCACAGATGGGCTGATTCCTCCTAATGAGATAGAGAACACATCTCTGCAGCTCAGCTTAAAGTCTCACTACAGCTCTTCAAATGTGTCGCTCGCTGTCAAATAGGTGACAGGTGTCATGCTTTCTGCCACACAAGTGTCAAACCTCATGTAAACCAGGCTGCAAGCTACATTTGAAAGGCTTCTTGGTGACATCACACCTTCAATAACACTCTTTTTCTTTTCGCCTGTGTACGTGAGCGTCCTCAGATTTAGATCAGAGAGTGGGTCAAACAGTGTTTTCCCCGCTGCAGATCATGAGCGAGTGCACGCTTGTCAAACGGCTCACACAGCTTAGGATCAGTGGTTGAGCTTGATTACCTCTTTTAAGGACATGCCTGTGCTCGGCGGGCAGCGTTAGCAGCAGTGCAGGCGCTGGGGAGGGGGAGGGGGAGGGGAGAGCTGCCTCTGCTATTTGCAGAGCACATTGCAAGCTTTGCAGGGCTTGTGTGCACAGTGTGCAGTGCAATAGCAGTGACTATTCATTGTGTAAAGATGATATATAAAGGCATAGTTAACAGATAAACAGAAATCGCCTTAAAAAAAATACATTTTATAAAGTAATGCATAAATAAAAACAAGTAATTACACATTCTTACTTGAAGTCATACTTCTTAAACTTATGAAAATACTTCAGTAACTAATTTATCATAGGGCTGTAGCGCCCATTAATGGCTGCACTTTAACAGAATTATCATTTCATGTCTCAAATCCAACGTTCTTAATTTCTTGACTGAAAATGAAAATAGTTTAGCATTATTTCATAATGCATGTTTTATAAAAAATTGCAAAATGTTTACTTTTTGGACATTTTAAGGAAATGATTGCTCAACACCACTTGTTGAATAATGAACCTGTGAACAAGCTTTATTTAATTATATAAATGGTATATGCATAGCAAGAAAGTATTTGTTACCATGTGAGTGTTTGTGTGTTTCTGCAGGTGGTGTCGATTCACCAAAAATCAAAGCAGACGGTGGCGTCCGTATCTTTGTGGCCCTCTTCCCTTATGATCCCGTCGTCATGTCACCCAATCCTGACGCTGCTGAGGAAGAGCTGCCCTTCTCTGAAGGACAGATCATCAAAGTATGTCCCCGCCACACACAATGCTGGAATAACCATGACATTATGCATGTTTTTTATAATCCAAGGTTGAAAATGCAAACCATATATATATATACATTGCCTTAACATCAGAGATTTTTTAACATTTCTGAAAATAGGCCAACTCATTTTTTTCATAATTATTAGTGTAGAAGAAATGTCTTCATTTTCTCAAAATAAATACATTTTCAAACAAGATTACATTTTCAAGAAATTGCTTGTTACCTGTAAAATTATTTTTCAAAGATGCCTAATTTCACGAGAAAACACAAGTTTTTCAAAGATGTCTTCAGTTTTGGGTAATCCTTTATATTTTTTAATGATTTAATTTGCCAGGTTTTTGGAGATAAAGACGCAGACGGGTTCTACCGAGGAGAGTGTGCGGGTCACCTGGGATACGTGCCATGTAACATGGTGTCAGAGATCCAGGTGGAGGACGAGGAGACCCGGCAGCAGCTCCTGCAGCAGGGCTTCCTGTCCACAGCCGCCTCCATGGAGAAGATAGGTAGGTGAAACTGTTTCAAGAAGGGCCCACAAACAGTGTGATTCCTGATGATGTTGTGATGTAAAGATTGATGTGTTTCAGTTGAAGTTTAATTCAAACGGTTTGATTTCATAATATCACTGTTCTTCATCTTTAAGTGGTAAGTGGAAATAGCAGCAAAAGTGTTTCAGAATCCAGATCTAAATCATAATTTGTATTATCCTTGTCTCTGAATTGGCCAGCAGTATAAAAAGACATACAAATATATTTAAATCTGTGATTAAAAGGAGAAAAATATTGAAGTGGCTCCCTTAGGCCTGTTGGCCCTTTGACCCAGCAGGAAGCACAAATAAATTAGATTTAGTTTAAAGTAATAACAAATCTAACATTTAGTTTTTATGGCTTTTTGCTCACTTTGTTGCTATTAAAGAAATGTTAACCATCTTTTCCGAGTCACTGACTGCGTTTTCATGCAGGTGTCTAAAAAATAGAAAGTCAAAGTGTGTTCCTGTGGTACGTTGCAGCAGCAAAATCAAGCTGCTTCTCTACCTAGAGCGGTGTTTTCAGATGGTTAAACCTTTTCACTTCCACTTGTTGTCACTGCTGTCTGCTGCTCACTGGTTGCCATTTTTTTTTAATTGCTCTTCACTGGCTTCTCATTGTCTATTGTGTCTTGTCTGCTTCTCTCAAAAATTGCACCTCTGTGTCTCTTTTTGGTTTCATTTTGTATTGGGTTTTCCCTTCTAAAACTCCATAAAGGCACTCGCACACATGCACAGCTTCCCAGTCGCCCTGTTCCACCGCCGAAACCGAGACGATCCAAGAAAGGTGTGTCACGCTGCAGATTGCGGCTTCCCACCTCTCTCCTCTATTCTCTCTGGTTTGCTTCTCTTTCTGTCCATTTCACTTTTTGCTCCTGCAGTTGCTGCCTCTCACTCAGCGACCAGTTGGGATTTTTAGTTCAGCTGCTGAAGTCATAAAGTCAGATAGCTTCCCAACAGTCTCTTTACAGTAGCTTCATATTCTAATATTAAAGCATATTCTTCACACTTCTTTTCTTATTGGCTCTTCATCTCTCCACAAGTTCCCTTTTTTTGTCAATAACGCCTACATAAATGTTAAAAGACACATACATGACTACTGAGTCAGTCCTGTCAGCTTTCATTGGATATTCATGTAATACATTGTAGACATAGCAGCAGAATGTGGCAGTAAAAGCTGTACTGAATCATTTGAAACGTTTTCATATGAATTCTAAGGGTGTATGTGTGTGTGTGTACACATAGTGTTTTTCTTCTTTGGCTGAAAAGAAACTGTCTCCATCCCAGCCTTTCATCAAAGAGTGCTCTATGTGATAATATCTTGACAACATATCACCACTCATACCGCTGCTGTATTCTAGAGAAGCATTGCCCCTTTGCTTTTAAATAACTATTTGGGCGCTAACCTATGTTTTAATGCCTTCATGACAGTGACGGCCGAGGTTAAAGCTGTTATGTTTTCGCTGTTATATATACCACCATCTCAGGTTCGTCTTAAGGGATTATGATTTATTTGCTGTTTTTGGATATCTACTTATAGTTCAAATGATATATTTCTGCACAGTTGCAAATAAGGAGCTCACGTATATTATAAGAATTATAGTTATAGTAAATAGTTTAAAGGATTGGCATTACATTTCATTTAGCTGACGCTTTTATCCAAAGCGACTTACAATGACCGATTACAGGGACATTCTCCCTGGAGTAACTGAGGGTTAAGTGCTTTACTCAAGGGCTCACTAGTGGTGGTGTTCCAGGTGGGATTTGAACTCACTCCTTCCGATCTTCAGCCCACCTCACTATCCATTAGACCACCACTACCCTTGGCTGTGTAGGAAGGTTTTCTTCTCCTGTTGTGAAAGTCCAAACGTCCACATAAAAAAAAAAAGAAGATAGATCTAATCATTTCTAAAGATGAACTAATGAAATAGTCTCCTTTTTTCATTTTCTATGGTAAAAAAAGCTATTCAGCCCTAATAGCACACTGTAAGTCCTTTTTGCCACATTCTGCTTCTGTCACAACTGCATTACATGATCACCTAAAGCTCTCCTGTTGAGACATCCATCCCCTCTGATCTGCATCTGTAACTTTGTGTGATGACATACCTGCTCTTGAGACAGGATTATATGTTGGCCCTTGAGGTCTCTTCTCATTCTGTGATTGTGCTCATTTTCTTTTCCTCGTACCCCGTCTCTTCCAGTAGAGTCTGCGGTGCTCTTGGAGGAGAGCTTAGACTCCTCCAGCCAAGGTTTGTAGTCAGCACTTTGCCTCCTCTTCCTCTCTGCTTCACCTGCATGATCAGACAGCCTTTTCAACCGGAGGACAGCATGTGTTTAAGTGCCTTCCTTTAACCTTTTTGTTCATGGTTCGACTGCACTCTAGCTGCTGATAACACAATTATTCATCCTTCTTAGGGACTGTTTGATTATTGGGGTATACTGAAGAATATATTATTTTCAATAGAAGAAAGAAGATTCCTTTGCAATTGCAGAATAATAATTGTATTTCTGGGATCAATTATTTGAAAGACTTGCCCAATTAAAAAAGAAATAGGGCAAGCCTTCTTATTACATTCTTTGTTAAGCCCCAGTTATAATCGTCAAGCAGTCCCTTCTCCTAACTCCTCTTTTCATTTCAGTGGCATCATTTGATACTCATCATTTCATTGTCTTTATTTTTACAGCTCAAGCTGCCACAAGCTTTTTAATGAAGACTGATTTCTAATCTCCTGTTGTTACATTTGTATCTCCTTGTGTTTGACTGCAGTGATGTGACTTTTCCTCAGCTTAGCATGACGCTGAGTGAGTGCAGACACGATGAGCTGCATGCTGATGAGCCGAGTGGAGTTACTCCTTTAATTATCAGGATATCATATTGTCTCTGTTTGATTGACAGATCCCTGCCAGACTGCAGCTCCACCTGCAGCTCCACCTGCCGCTCCACCTGCCGCTCCACCTGCCGCTCCACCTGCAGCTCCACCTGTGGGGGGCCCGGCCCCAGGAGCTCGCAGGATGGTCGCCATCTTTGATTATGATCCACGAGAGAGCTCTCCCAACACTGACATAGAGGTCAGACTCGCATGAATAATATATGTTATCCAGACATGGCCCTTTATGTGTTTGCTAATGATCTGCTTCACTTGTATTGCTCTGATCAGGCTGAGCTGACCTTCAGTGCAGGAGACATCATAAATGTGTTCGGTGACATGGACGAAGATGGCTTCTTCTATGTAAGTGTGAACATGACACTACCGTCAATTACTGTGGGCAAGAGGAGTTGTTTCTCAATAAATACAATATCTGAACTACATCACAGCACAGGTATAATAATGAATAATAAATACAATATAATAATAATAATATATAGGCTGTTGTATTGCTCAATTGATAGAGCTGTTTGGGCCATTGCTTGATCCCCAATAGAAATCTAAATCTAAATTATATATACATATATTGAAGTTTATAATGGGATATATAGCATATGATAATAAATACAGTGATAACAATATTAGCAACATATTAGCATTTAATAACATCATATAATCGTTCGGTCCGTTATTACATCCTAAAGCTTTATGTATGTTAAACGTAAAAACCTGGCACAGTCAGTTATTTGACTTTTCACATAATATAATGTCTTTAAATAATAAATTGATTATCAAAAAAATGTTGATTCACTTTTCTGTTAATTTATATTAAAATGCTGACTCGTCGCTGTAAATCAACCTCGGAAAACCCAGAGGTTGATTTATAGCCATGTTGTTAGAAGTCGCCCTCATGCCCTTAATGGGTTTTTTTGTTACAGGGAGACTTGAATGGACACAGAGGCTTGGTGCCCTCTAACTTCCTGCAGGCCGTACCAGAGGAAGCTCCTGCTCAGCCGGCACCAGACCATAGGAAAGAACTACAGGTGGCCTAGCATTTACATCTAGCATGTATGCATTACTGTCTATGAAACTGTCTGTGACTTTCTCAACTTCTTACATACTTTATATCTAATTTTAACAAAAAAACTTATATTTTTTACTTTATTTCTTCATGCATTGCCAGCGTCTGGTTATTTTCTGATCTGTTTCTTTAATCGTGCCCCGTCGCATTTCTTTCGCCCCACTGTTTCCTGCATGGCCTTTTTGCAGAAGCACAAACGAAGTGTACACTTTGAGACCTGATGGTAAGTGTTTTTAGAGAGGAGTAAAGCAGCTCAGCGATCACCACTAGTGTCCCCTGTTCACTCCCCGCTGATGTCCTCTTCCTTCCAACTTAACTGAACTCCTAAAATTCTGCACCTTGATTGTAGGGTATTCAAAAGTGTGATCTCGTCCTTTGTGTGCCCTTTCCTTAGGTTTCCTTTTTGTGTTATTATTTCAAGCAAAACTAAATAAATATAGCATTCTAAAAGTCTCACTCTCTTCCTGAAGGACACCTGGACGTCTTCTACAGAGGAACAAGATCCTGGGGCCTCAACCCTAGAAGAAGCTTTGCCCCCCCCAGCAGAACCTCCTCACCCTGACCCAGCAGAGCACACAGACCTGCCCCCCAAACTGGCCCCCACTTCAAGCCCAGCATCAGACCCTTCTCCTGCTCCTGCTCCTCTTCCTGCTCCATCAGTGGAGGCCTGCGGCTCCCCTCCGGCCCCCCTCCCTGCAGACAGCCCATCAAAGACAGACTGCTCCCCACAAGGCAAGAAGAAAAAAAGCTTTTTCTCCAAAGGCAAGAAGCTGTTCAAAAAGCTGGGATCCAGCAAGAAAGAATGAGTCGGCACGTCTGACTCATTCTTACCACTCGCGTCACATTGAAAGCACTTTTTCTATCTGTTAGTCTCAGTATCTGACAGTTATTCTACTTTGGCCTTAGAGCACTGCTAGCAGCTGTTAACTTTAGACTACATTCAATGTACCGCTTACAGCATCACACGGGCATGTCGATGTGCATGTCGAAGTGTGCGAATATATCCTCTAAATACTACCTAACTATCTAAGCATTTGCAAATGTTCAACTCAATAGGCTTTAACGATCAATATCAATTACTTATTAGTCAATGGACCGGTTTTATTTATAAAAATCTGATAGAGAACAAGATAGAACAGCAGACACACAGCTAATGAAATATTAAAGTTCATTTTCTGGTGCCACTTTATTTATTTAAAAACAAACAGACGAAGCAGTCTATCTTTGCACTATCCATCCTGAGTGGATGAATTCTAAATGTCTTTCTGCGTGTCTCTCTCCTTGTTTCTTGTCTTTGAGAGTTTATACTTTGTACAGAACATGTTATTTATTTGTGTCAGACTCTTGCTTTAACCACATTGCAGGAAGTGACATCAGGACAGGAGGTTAGTCATGATCCAAGTGTAGTATTATATTCTTTAGTAATGGGCTTTGAGGCTAGCAGTCATTGAAGGTAAAGAATGTGATGGGTTGCCCTTTGTGTGTGTGTGTGTGTATGTGTGTGTGTGTGTGTGTGTGTGTGTGTGTGTGTGTGTGTGTGTGTGTGTGTGTGTGTGTGTGTGTATAAACAGATGCCTTTTCAGACATTAACGTAGCAACAGTCATAACTGGCCTAATTGTCACAATCTACGTGCAGTGTGCAGAAATCATGTAATATCTGTTGATCGGTAGGCTGCTCTGTTAACTAAGTCAGCTGCAACTGATGTTTATCGTCAAACCATCATTGAATAATGAAATAACCGTTGGTATGTACAGCATCACAGTTTCTTACAGCCAACAGTGTTGTAGCATGAAATGACTTGTTTTGTACGACGAACAAAAGCCAAACAAATTCAGCTAACTGTAAAGTAGGAAAAGGAAAAGCTAATTCTCAAAACTTATCCTTAAATCCATCAAATAATTTGCTTAATTTTCTCTTGATCGACTAACCCAGGGGTTTTTAAAGTCTGATTATCAAATATATGTAGTGGAGTAACATACAATATGTGCAATAAAATGTAGTTGAATAGAAGTATAAAGTAGCTTTAGCCCTTATTTGTTAATATTTGTGTTAATCAACACAATCCAAACCATTTGAACACTTCCTGTTTGAAGTGTAGCCATGATATACTGACAGTTATCAGTGCATAACTTTAATACTGAAGAATACTGATGACACTCAGGCAAATTCTAGAGTTTGAAAACCTCTGGACTGATTGATCAATTGAGTAATTGTTGCAGCTCTTACAGAAGACTATTAATGCTAGAAATAAGAAAAAACTCAAATTGAGGAGAAACCTATTTTTTATTTTGAGGATGAAAAGAATGTCTTTAATTGAAATACATTTTGGGAAATAAACATTGAACTCTTAGAGATAAATCAAAAATAATTCTGTAGCGCATACATTGAACATCTGACTTTATTCTTGACATATCAACCGCATTCTAAAAAACATTTCCTCCCTTAAAGATTTTAAAAAGGAGACCATAACACTTAGGATCCTATTTAAAATGAAATGTTTTTATTCATAACACCTAGGCTTTCTGGCACGGCTCTACTGCGACACACTCAATCACCTGTTTATAATTTTGCCTCCAAGTCTGAGTATGATTCACTTTTAGAGTGTGAATATTAGGTCATACAGCGTACATGGTTTCATGCAGTGTAGCTGAAATTCGTTTTTTTGTCTCTAAACATTGACATCATTAAATGATAGACTGTTTGGTTGAAGCTAAAGGACACAAAGTTAGCCATATTGTGTTGTATTCCAACACTTATCAAGACATTCTGCATCTTTTAATGGTTTGTGACACAATTACTCACACTAAGATTTAGTTTTGAGTGTGTGTTTGTGGGTGTGTGTGGAGCAGGCCTTAGGGTTGAGTTTGTGAGTCAGTTACAACACACTCTGATTGGATCTGTGTGACATTAGCTGTTAGGCAACTTCTCAGGTTTTTACTTATAGTTTTCTTACTAATGCTGAGCCACCTGTTGACTCCAGCTGTCATAAAACCGCAGAAAATGCCAAATCTTAGGTGCTTTGCCTGTTACCGTAGCTTCAAAGGAGCGAGTGACGGCAGCATGGAGATAAAGTGGAGTATGTAGAATCAGATTGAAGATTAGGGCCTAGTTTCACCATTCAAAGTTGGAGGAAAATAGTTTTTATTTACTGTCGTGAATGTTTTAAATGTCTTTCTGTGTTATATAAAGGGAGCATGACGATGCCAAGACACTTAAGATGTGAAATAGCCGGGATAGAGGCAAGACTGAGTCTGTACTGTATTTAAATTTGTTTTCTAAGAGTTGCCGAAATGTACAGCGAATATTTGTACTGCTCTTGTATTTGACGGCCTTTTAATGCACAAGTATTCCTCTACCTGCTGTGTAGTGAGTAGGCGCTAGCACCCATGTAGGAAGAGTTTTAGCTCAGTCGATCATATTTAGCCTTACAAGAAGACCTTGTTTAGTCTTTAATCGGTTGTTTACAGGATGTTTATTGACTGCATGCATACCAATGTCATACCCATGTTCGGCCTTATTTATGTTACGGTTATATTTATGTTTCCTAGGCGGACTCGTCTACAATGTTTGAGTTGTAGATCGTCAATGCAGTGGAGAAGAAAGTGTGTATATAATGAACAGTTGTTGTGGTATATTTTCATAATGCGCGGGAATCTTTTTTTTCGTCTTCCCTCGACTTGCATCATTGTTTGAAAAAGTGGAAGATGTACCTTTTGATATATATGTAATGTTTTTATTACCCATCTGTAAATACTTTTGTTAATATGGTTTTTCAGATTTCTTTTTTTGCATGTCGATGGAGGAACAGTAACTGAGGATGTAGTGCACAGAGGACTTGAACATGTGATGGTTTGTTTCAATATGGATCTTTTTACAGGAATAAAGTATGTATATTTTCACAGAAAACACTGAGTCTGTAATGCATGTGGTGCGACTGGAAAAGAGAAGATAACACAAGGTACGTTTAATTTCCTTTATTGCATTTCAAACAGATTATACATCATAATTATTTCTTTTTTTTCCAGGACAGTTGAAAGTCATTCGAGGTGCTCGCTTTGCTCCGCGCCACACGCCGCCCATGTGAACTGAGCAACACTCTGGGCGATGCGAGGCCTTGTGAGACAAAGCAGCTTCCTCTTTTTTTCTCACTTCCTGTGCGGCGGGCCCTCGACCGTGGGGCCTCTCCTCTCCCTGAAGCCAACAGTACACTCATCCATAAAGTAGGAAACACTACACTGTGGCGAGGAGTTTAGTAGTGCTTTCTACTTTATGGATGACTGCACTGTACATCCATCGCCGTCTTCTTCTTCTTCTTCTTCTTCTGCACACGCACACAACCCCCGCCCCAGAAACAACTGCTACACCAAACCGACCAACATGCACACTTCCTGATTCGTCTTGAAACATTTGCATACACGGTTTTCCTAAAGCCTGTTCAAATCTTAGTGCTCTTATTATACATGACAAAAATCCTCTGTCTCTTAAAGAGCTGCGCAGTAAGATGTTTGAGGAAAGATTCAGAACTTTCTAGAGGAAGCGCCATCTTGAGGAAGCCATTTTGGCTGGCATGAGTAAGCTTTTCTGTCTTAAGCAACAGATCAGTTGGTATATTGAAATAGTTAGTAAAGTAATGCAAACAATTACTGTCTACATTTGACATTGGATCAAAAACAAATTGGAGCAATTGAAAAAAAAAACATTATACACAATGACAGTTAAAAGTTGGTAATACAGCAAGAAAAGAGCATTGAGTTCACAGTTTATATCAATACAACTACCCAAATTACAATTGGACAAAAAAAAAACATCTAAAATAAGCAAAGTTAGTGAAGGAAAAGCTGTAAAACTGTTATTATCTAAAATAACTTTTCCCACGTCGTTACAAATCATTCTAGTATCAAGCGCGCCATGTCCTCCATCATACTTTACCTCATCCTTCGTGTCTTTTCTCTAGCTTAGAGTCGGGTGTGCAGCGGCCTCGCAGGTGTCTGCTGTCGGTCCAAGGAGAGGATGAAGTAGAAGAAGAAGAAGAAGTCGTCTCCTTTTGAAGGCTTCACAGCCACGTGATGTAACCACAGGAAGAGGTCTAACAGTCACTCTCTTTCCTCTTCCGGCTTCACTCTCTTGCCTTCTGCTGCCACTTTTTGCCAAAACGCCGACGGCAACTGAGAAGATAGTTTTTCGATCAAATTGACACAAAGTAAACGGGAAACAAATTCAGAACATTTGGTTTCTTTAACGCTTAAAACATCTTGGATTTCATTTGAATAATGTTATCTTCTTAATCACCTGCACATCAAATCCTTTTAAGGCGTTAGTTCATTTTTTCCATTTTGAACATGATGCCGTGCTGCGAGGGATGATGTCAGGCTTTATTTACTCTGCAGAACAGTCAGATGTTTAGTTGTGCTATAAGCCTGTATAAAAAGTGATTACAACACACATATGTAGCTTTCCCATTAGGTGAACCTACGAATACATTTATACTCACTTTAATTCCCTTTTTATTAACCGTTTCATTACTTGTTTGTTACACATTACATACAGTGGGGGAATGTTATTATATGGAATAAGTCCATAAACTTGTGTTCTGTATTCAGGCACTTGTTTCCTTTCTATGCAACCTTCTTCTTCTGCTTCACTACAGTTCACAGACAAATCATGTTCTTTTTACTGCCTTCTCATTTTCTGAGAGCAGTTACCTTGAAGATTCAGTTTCATACCCTTCCTGTCTAGTACAACACATTATAATATTCTGGTAAACTGAAAATAAGAAAGAAATAATTCAACTTTTGAAGCTTAATACTGTTTGAAATGCGTCTTGAAAATTGAGCTTCAAGATCTTCAAGAAACTCTTCTATCATCGTATAGATCATTGAACATGAATTGCCTTTAGATTAAACTACCTAAAGGCACATAAAGATGTTACAATTAGCACAAACTTAGACATCTAAGGCAGTGAAATACAACAAAAAAGTAATGCAGCTTTAATATCAATCCAGATATGTCATATCAAATAGTAAAACATTGATAGAAAATATTTTACTACACAATGATAACACATTTGGTCCTTAACTTAAATAAGCTTAAGAGAGCAGGACTTGAGCTTGTAATGGAGTATTTTCACAGTGTGGTTGCAGTCATTTTACTTAGGTAAATTATCTAAATAATACTTCCATTAATTAATATACATATATTATTAATTATACACGTCCACAGTCCTCAATGCGTAATGCAGGTTTACTAGGACTGTGTGAAAATGTGTCGAAAGAGGATCTTGTGGCAAATATGAAAGGAAACCATTAAAGGGAACACATGTGCATACAGGCATGTGAGAATAAATGCTAGACTTGGAAAATATGACACTATCATTTAATGTAAACCATTTCATTTCAAATCTTGTTATAAAGATGTATATGTTGAGCGCCAATTTTCCGTTGCCTCTCTGTTGATTTGCAAAAGTGAAAGGCCGCAGGTTTCATTTCCTGTTGAATGCCTGAATGTAACTGTGAGGTTTCTTATAATGCTAACACAGGGGGTGTACTGTATGTACAGTGTAAATGCATCTTTAAAACCTTTCAGACTCATCAATTCTACGTTAAAACAACTTTTTTTTTATAGCTAAAAACCAGATCTAGGTCATCAAATACATCTCTGAGGGAACACTTTGGTTGGTTCTAAGGAAAGGAACCAATAAGTCAAAAGCAGTGTAACAATTAAAAGTCCTGATTACATAACCCCGCTTGAGCAAAAGTACAGACGTATATCACCAACATGTGATCAAAAGCAGTATCAAAGTGAAAGTACTTGCTCACTGCTGTAGGTATGTATTCAGTAGTTTAATCATTCGGCTCATACCAAGAAAAAAGGTTCTGCTACACAGATCCCTTTTTGAGAAGAAGTCACTTCTCGACTGATAAGATCTCATAGACATCTAAAACTTGTTAAACTACACACAATCAAAAAGGCATGTAAAACCTCAATGTTAAAAGCAACTTTATCTGTTAATTACATATATTGGAATGCAGTACTTCCTCCAAATGGTGGTGTAATAGTAGTATGAAATTGCACAAAATAGAAATACTCATGTTACGACTTCAGGGAAGAAACAGAACTCGCAAGAGGCTTGGCCTGGTTGCCTTTGTTGGATCAAAATGTAATTGCTGAGATAAAAAATGTTGGTGAATAAATTCTAATTTAATGAAAAAATGAAATGATCAGCTCACTACAATGTGTATTCATAATCACAGCTATATACAAATAATACAGCGTCCCTCTCTTCCACACACACAGGTGAACAGGTGATAGTATTCCCTATGAGCGCTACTCATCTCCATGTGACCCGCTCCAACCAATCCATTACAATCACACAATAATATATTATAATATTACAAAGAAGGACCGATACCAACAAATATAAAATAATACAATACTTAAGCATAATAGTATTTGTACCTAATTTACTCTGGATGTAAGCTGAGGTGCATGTGCATTATCACACAGATTCCCAATGAGGATTTGAAAAGGCATCGGTGTGATCAAAGAAATATGATGTGGTGAGATCTACTATAACTTTATTCCCATAAAGTCTATTCCTGCTTTTGAGTCATGTCGGTGAAAGGCAGAGAGCTGATGTCAATATGACGTCAATACCTTAAAGAATAAGGAACGTGGGAATCCTACAGAGGGTTCTGATTCAGACAGGGAATGCTCATCACTTCATTCCTCTCCAATCACTCACGACTGACAAACATCCCTCACTTTGGGTTAGAATATCCAGCATATGGTGTATTTTAAAAGCCACACTCAGATCTCCTGACCCCTGCCCCACTCTTCACTAATCCCTGCCCTCTCCACCTTATTGAGTCAGCGGGCTCTACTGAAGAGCTGCAGTTCATCTGGCAGGCCCCCTCCCTCCCCCACCCAGCCTCTGAGCGTGTGCCAGTGGGGAAGTGATCCTCTGTCCCTGTGTGTGAGGAGGACACTAAAGCCAGGCCCCTGATAGACCTTATCTGGGCCGGCAGCCATTTCCCCTCCCTCCCTGCTAGCTCCCTCTGCGCTCGGGCCGGGTGTCGACACCACCGAGCCGCCCACAGGCTTATTCTTCCCCCCCCCCCTTCCAGAGCCGCCAACTCCACAGAGGCTGCCTGAGCTGCTCTAAACCGGCTTCTGCAGAACACCAGGGCATGGTAGATTTACTCACAATCTGCACTAAGGACACATTTTCAGGTCTTTCCCTTGAGTCTTCTAACATTTCATACATGTATCTGAACGCTAAATGGACTTATGACATAAAAAAGCTTTTTATCATTTCAAATTAAAGTGGCCAGTTCGCATTTCAGGTCGATACCAGTTCCACCAAAGTAAAATGCCTTCAAAAATCCTTCCAAGAACAAAAAGTAAAATGATTGTATCATAATGATAGTTGTATTGCTGTGTATATCATTGATTTTGCAGCAAGTAGCTTATTTGATTTACTTTGTAACAGCTGTGTATCTAAAAATACATCAATATCTTTAGTTGAATATGTTTGGTATTCATAATTGTAATGTGCATAAAGCTGTCAAATGGATGTATTGGGAGTGGAAATCCTCAAGTAGTGTACCTCAAAATTGTTCTTTAGTTCAATTTACACAGCAGGAACCCTTAATACTAGAAAAATCAAATGAAATAGTACGTTTTTAGCGATAGTGGCAAAATACTAGAAGAGTTCAAGACTATTAAAATATTAAGCTCACTATTTACATGCTTAATGTATTCACCAATTAATATATGGACCCCATTTAAATTGCTTTTCAAGGTTAAAGAGGTCAAATACTACACAGAAATCCAATAAATGTTTATAAAAGCAATCTTTATTTCCATCAAACATCTCATGACCCCTCAGATTTTAATGCTAA